CGGAGAACGCGAAGCTGCACATGGACCCGACGTTTGCTTCGCAACCCAGTCACCAGCTCGTATGTTCAGAAAACTGGAGCAGGCTATTCAGTGTGTCCCTGCTGCAGGAGCTTGACAAGCTGCGTGCTGAGAATGACCAACTTCGTGCGGCCCTCATTTCTGATGTAACTCAGCAAGACGCTTGTTCGTGAGCTCCTGTGTCGAAGCCCCGCCAATGCATTTGGGGCAAACATTTCAAGTTTTGCCGAGGTCGTCAGAACCACCAGCTTCGGGCCTCGGAAACGACACGGGGCGCCTGGTTGCAATCCTTTACACGTGCCTTGGCTTGAAGCACTGTCATGACAAGGCCCCTGCAACTGCACAAGCAAAATCTGGATGGTCGGATGCCATGTGTTTAAAGCACGATGTGAGGCCTTGCTGTTCTGAGCTCGTAGAATGACCGTCTGAATGCCGCAACTGTCATTGGAATTGCTCGAGGTTCCCGCAAACACATGGAGGATGACCGGTCCATCGGCAGAGTCACGGCGGCACTGATCGGTAGTCGTAGACGGTCCGGCACTTACGTGCGTGGGAGATGTCTCCAACATTCTCCAACACTCAGGAGACAACGCCTCAGAAGCTGATAGAGAGGACCCGTGCCGATCACCAAACTTTGCCAACAGTTTGCAATCGCATGGGGCGCAACAACGGCCGAAGGCCTACAGGTTGTCGAGCCTGTTGACTGTTGACACGACATACGCAACTAGATGTAGCAGGCACGGCAAGGTCCTCAGGGGGAAGGTATGTTGCAGTGCACTCCTGGGTCACAAAGTCGGATCCGCAATAGCCCCTGAGACTAAGGATACCCGTTGTTGTTTCGACAAGGTCACCTCATTCGACAGGTCAAGGCTTAACAGTCAAAATGGGGTCACAAGCGAGACATAATTTGAAGAGAATTCTGTTTCCATGACACACCGCACGGCCCGGCACAAGGCAAGGGGCGAGAAAGACGTGGTATTGGGTGCCAAGTGGAGCCGCGGGGAGGGGGTCTGAGCCCTGCAGGACCCTGCCAGCCTCACCCCTCGTGGTGTTGCGACGACACTTGGCCTCAATGCTCAGCCTGGAAGGCGCTTGTGTGAATGAAAGTGTGGGCGAGGCTACTTGCGCTTACTCTCACTTGAAATATCCTGTGCAGTAGCCTCAGGACAACGCCGGACAATGCCCAGCAACAGGTGCTGTCCCTCCAACTCTATCCGCCGCTCAACGAGTTCTGGGAGGAACGGACCCAGAGTCGAGTGCACATCGCAAGGTACAGGAATTCCAGAAGGCCCGTATGTGCATACAGTGCTCGACTTTGGCGAGGATGTGCCATGCAAGGGCATCCCGTTCTTGCAGACGGGTTCGCTCGTGCACGTCAAGATGGGTCCCAACATCCTTCTTGTGGACCTTCATGGCAAGAGCCTGGTGTGGCAGGTGCGGGACCCACCGCATCTCGTGCATGCTGCAACCAGGATGGCCCGCAGTTGTCCTATGTTGTGCTTGGCAGTACAGAACAGAGTCAGTGGTGTAGCGTGTGGCAGCCAGTGCTTTTGCCAATCAAGAAGGTTTAGTTTCTCAAGGCCATTCGGAACCTTTGGCTGAAGCCAGCAGGCATGCAAGCAGTTCCTTCGCAGCGAGAAACGCAGGAGAAGAGGCTCCAAGGAGTAGGACATGAATCTGCTTGCCCCAGAAACAGGTCACGAAGCTAGCTCCCTGGAGCTTGCGAGAGTTGTCGTTTACGAAGCATTTGTAGGTCTGTAGCGTTCAGGCGATCCCGGGCCTTCACTGGTATGAAAATCAATGAGCTAACGGGCCCGGGGCAACCCCCCTCCCTTGTAAGAGCAATCTTCAGGTGGGCCCCCATCCCTTTCACGACGGGTTGCATGTCGAAGTAGGGGGTGGGGGCAGAGAGAGACAGACGGACGCTGCCAAGCATGCATGCGCACAATGGAAAACACAATGACAATGAACTGCCACTATAATTAAAGGCAATGAGTGGGGATCCGAAGTTGTTCCGAAAGTACCTGTGCGCTTCGACAGTTTGGTGCCAGTGTGCCGGGCTGCCACTAGATCACATAACAAGCCCTGCAAGAATCTTCGTGGTCGCCCAGGCATGGATGTGCAACCATAGTGGTTATCGCGGCAGCATGGGCTTCATTGTCGAGCGGTGCATTGAGCAAAAGCCCAAGCCAAAGCGATTTTCACTGCTCGGCGACTCGGTGCAAGGGCTTTTGTCAGCGAGCGAACCGCAGCAAAATGGCCTTCGGGAAGCCCTTGCACTGCAGGAAGCTCGCCAAAGGACGAACGGGCCTGCCAGGAGGGCAACATCGGTGAAGCCTTTGTTCTCCGATCAAGTTGGACTAAGAGCCGTGGGCTTCGTTAACAGATGAATGGTCTGAAAGCATCCTGTCATGTTCTGTTGGTTTGTGCCTAGTTACGGTCTGCCGAGGAAGTACGTGAAGATCGGAGGACTTCTCGACTGGTATGCTCTACAAGTCTCAGGCAGGTGTTGTCAGCACAAACCCCGCCACAGCCAGAATGGAAATCCTAGGCCGAAGTGCCGACGACGCAGCCGTGTTCACTCACAGGCCCTTCATGCCTGCAAGACAATTGACTGTTCTTGCCTGACTCGCTAATGCCTGTCTGTCAGGCCATTGAGCTGTGGCGAGCTTCTCAGTTTGGGGTGTTCAAGGCTTCATGCATCCTGCTGCACTGCTTTCAAGCCGGCAGCCGAGCTCAGGAGGTCACAATACTGAGTGTCGACCTCGGTTCATCCTTTGGTACTCGTGCACTCAGCGAAGGCACCTGTCGTTGGCAACTGTCCGTGCAAACATGCGACCTCGCATACGGTCTCGAGTTGGTAGCGCTGCACGACCAAACTCCGAAGCTGTTGCACAAAGGTCATACAGCTTCGCTTTGAAGCTGCACGGGAAGGACAAATACCTGAGCCTGCAGCCAGACGGTTCGGTTTCAGTGGCCACTCGGAGCAATTCAATGACGTGCACGAAGACCCCGGATGCGGATCACCGGGAACTGAGCTGTCCCATCTGTACATGTTCCGAGGACAAAGTATCCGATGATTCCGTGGGCAACAACCACAGCCTCATTGCAGGCTTCGAGTGTTTGTTGCCAGCTACTTCCTATGACATTGCTCAGCACCCAGCTTTTGGTTGCTCTGTCACTGTAGCGAACTGTACTGCAACGAACCAGCAAGCGTGAACCGATTCGGAAGTTTCCAGGTCATCTACGAACAGCAGATTGGTCTGACCGTGAGCAAGGACTTGCCACTGAGAGTGGTTGGAGCCTGCCTCAATGATCAGCCTTTGCAAACAGAACATTGCCCTTTGAGCCCGGCCAGAGGTTTCAAGAACGTGGTGCACGTCTCTGGGCGACCCCCGGAGGCAGGTCCCGCCGAAGCCAGCGGCCGCGTTCGGGTGGGTGCGGACCTCGTTAAGCAACAGGCAATGCTAGCTTGACCAGGCCTTTGCTCGTGGAACTCTGTGGGGCTGCTTCATTGCTTCATTCCATGACCAAGGCGATGTGATCACCTCTGTCAACGGACAGGACTCACAAGGGGAAGGTAACAGATCTGAAGCTGCACGGTGTTTCCACTTTGAAGCATGCCAGAGACACATGTCATTCTGTCGCATTGTGTCTGCCGGCCCGAACAGAAGTCCTGACTCATCATAAAGTCTTCGCCTGCACGGTCGCACCTGGATGGCAAAGATGAGTAGCCCGACCTTACGCTGACATCCTGAGACATTCTGTCAGGACGTGACAAAATGGGAGCGCCAGGCCGTGCTCAGCCTGATCAACGAGAAGCGGCCAGTGACCCTTCGGTTTCTCTCGAGACTCGACTGTTTCTTTGAGCCTGACTCACCCGAAGCGTCCCCCGGCACTTCACGAGAACTGTGGACTCAGGATTGATCCGACCTGAGAGGGCTGAAACGTAGTTAGGATCCAGTCTCACTGCTCACGCTGCTGCAGGCCAAAGTGGTTTGCATTAAAGGGCTTTCTGCTATGTCGGAGATGTTATTCTTCTCCTTCGGTGCCATCTATAATCTATACTTCAGATGAGGTCAGAAGAAGCCCTCAAAGCCACCACGCGGAAGCAACATCTTCGGTTGCACTCAGCCCAGCAGCAGATCGTTTTCCCGTGCACCTCGAAAGAAACAGGTGCCAGAGGGACTGAGCCGACAAGCAATGTACCTCATGCAATTCAACCCTTCAGTGATTTTGTTCACGTTCTCCATTTCAGGTTTTTTACTTTCATGTTCCAAGTTGCAAAATTCGGAAGCTCGGTCATGTTGCATTCTTTATGCACGTGCTACCGACAAGCCACGATCGATTCTGGCAGAGAGGAGAAGCATGAAGCAAATTGAGCGGCTTGGACGAGAATCATGCCGATTCGGCTGTCTGAGGCAGAGTGGCAGGATCGCTTGGATCAGGCTGCCAAGTCCAGCACTCAGCTTTTTCCCTGACACAGGGTATGACAAAGTAACTTGCCTGGGCCTTCGCAGAAGGAACAGAAGTGTACGTTCTTAGGCGAAGAAGGTTTGACCAAGAGCAGACGCAGACTGAGCACCTTGCCCTGCACTAGCAAGCCTCTGGGGAAGTGCATGCAGAGCTGCCAGCATAGGCCGAGTCACAGCAGCGACTGCGAAAGCCAGGAAGTTGGAGGCAGTCTAGGAGCTCAGGACAGCGGCAGTTCTGATGGTGTGGGCTCATGATGATCAATGTCGTTTCCAACGATGTTAAGTTGCAGGATCCTCTGGCATATCTGAGCGAGGCGAGCAGTGACTGAAAGAAGAAAAAATGACATGCCCAGACTCCTGCGTGACAGGGAAGCATATCATGTGTAGCCGTGGACTTTCTGACATGGACATGTCCAGTGGGGTTCAAGCTCGCCTACCCTGCGTACTGATTGCGCGAGATGGACATTGACTTGACGAGTGCAGGCTCAGTGCCTTGGTGCTGCCATCATGTTGAAAACCATGAAGACCAACCTTATAGCGGCACTGGCGGAGGATGGCTTACCTGACAACAGCACAGCACTAATCCGGAATCTGGTGAGCGGCAAAGCGGGACCACTGACACTGCCGGATTTCCAGCGGCTCTTGATCGCATCGCGCGGCAGGTGGTCAGAAGCCGTGATGCTTTTGCAAGAACTGAGGCGGCGGGATTTGCAACCATCAGTCTTTCAGTGGCAGCGGGACTTCGGCTGGGTAACCACGGCTCTTGAAGCATCAGGGATGTGGCAGAAGGCGCTGGAGTTGCTGAGATGGATGGCCTTAAGCGATCTGGAAGTGAACCACGTCGCCGAGACCGCATCCGGCTGGCGACTTCGTGATGGAGCTGGGGAAAATGCCAGGAAAGAAGCAACAAAGGCGCTGCTGAATCCAAGATTGCGGAAGATGCTCATGTTGAGGTTGTATACTGCAAAAGCGAGAAAGGATGCTGCAGACGTGGAGGTCGTGGCCACTGCCCTTCGCAGCTACGGAGCCCCGAAACCTCGAGACTACGTTGTTCTTCTGTCTGCATATGGTGCAGTTCATCTTTGGCAGTCTGCGCTGGGCGTGTTGAAGGAAATGCAGACTCTGCAGTTTGCTCCCGACATTGTCAGCTACAACGCAGCTCTTAAAGCATGTGAGAGAGGTTGCCAGTGGTCTGCTGCTCTGGCTTTGTTTTATGACATGCCTAGTGTAATGTTGAACCCAGACCAGATCAGCTACACAGCCCTCATCGAGAGCCTGGGTCAACAGAAGTTCTGGGAGCAGGCTTTGCAGCTGCTGGCGAGCATGGACACCGAAGGCACAGCACCGGACGTAGTGGCATACAGCGCGGCTATGGCAGCATGCGCCAAGGCGCAGAAGTGGTGGCTTTCCCTGGGGCTCTTGGCCGAGCTAGAAGCGAGGAACCTGCTCCCTGATCAAGCGGCTCCACCAGCATTTGGAGAGCCGTGCCGCCCTCCCTCTCCCATGCAGCCCCAAAATGCCCCAAATGCTGCTGCCGCTGCTGCTGCTTCTGTGCTGCTACTGCAGCTTGCTGCTGGAGGGGTGGCAACTGCCAACTACACCTCACACGGTTGAATGGCTCTACAGTCAACTCATAAAATTCGACCACTCTTCGGCTTTTTAACATCAACCTCATACACTTCGTACCGTCAGCGGACACTGCACACTGCGCCCCCCCATATGCTGCAACAACCTGCAACGCTGTGTGCAGTAGATCCGGCTTGGGATAAATTCGTCTGGCGATCAAACTATACACGAGAACGGACTGAGACTTTTACACGTTTGATGAGTTCATCGAGTGGCCCACATCCTGAACTGAAGCCTCCCAACCCTGCCGTGCCAGCATGGAGGAAGACACATAAGACACTCTATCCTCGCACCGAGGTCTGTATGGGCATAGCTCTGAATGCCTGCGAATTCTCGCGGAAGTGGAGACATGCAGTAGCTCTCCTGCGTCGAGTAACAGGTTCCCGGAAAGAGGGCCCAGACCTACCCGGAGAAGTCGATTTTTTAGGTCTGACTGCTGCAGAGTGGAGGCCTTTGGAGAAAGCACCTTGCTTAAATGGCAGTTGTAAGTTTTATGGGCTACTTTCTGGCGCGTGAAGAATAGATGCATCTTTGGACGGAGAAGTCGAAGTGAGGCACTTGGCATAATTGAGGAAATTGACTGGCTGCCAGAAGATCCTAACGAGGATCCAGAGCTTGAGAAGAAATGGCAGGAATTTCGACGCCGCCACCAGGTGTCAGATTGGGATGCCCGGGGACTGGAAGACTGGCATGCGGCAGTGGCGGCAGAACAGGTGCTGCACACGCTTGGTCAGTCAGAAATTCCCATCAACACGTACATTTACAGAGCTGCAATTGGAGCATGCTCACGCTGTAAGAAAGTCGAAATGGCTTGCACTATTTTGGACGAGATGTCTTGTCGGTTTCCGTTGACTGCCATGCTGGTGACAGATGTTGTAAGCGGCCTTGCAGATGTCAGCGACTGGTGCCGCGCTATTCATCTGCTGGCGTTGCCCGACCACCCAGACACTGTCCTTTACAATGCAGTCATGGAAGCCTGCGGCCGTGCGTCGCAGTGGGAACGCGCCACTCACATTCTGCAGCAGTTGACAGTGGAACAGCTGTCTCCTTCTGTGGTCACATTCAATACATTGCTGTCCTGCTATGTGCAGTGCAAGAAGACTGGAAAGGTGGAGAAGCTCCTGCGAAGCATGCAAGATTTCAGAGTTGCTCCAGATGGAGTGACTGAAAGCTTCTTGGAAGATGAGACGTTGCTTCGGTCTGCACGAATTCAGGCCCTGCGCCGGGGTACCATCATTCCATTGGAAAAGAACTTTAGCTTGCATGAAGTCTGAAGGTGGTTCCGCTCTTGAGGGTCAGAGGCTTTCGTCCCACAACTGTCCTGTCGCCTTGGCTCAGAAGCATTTCTTCTACGTTCTACTTTGAGCCACGTTCAACCCGCATGATGGCGCTGTGTCGAGCTCTTGCATCTTGACCGATTTCAGTTCATGTGTGATTCCTGCCCGGCCAAGCAAGCCACATGATTGCGAATCTTGATGCGCGCCAGGGTGCAAATCAAAGCTATTACCCGGGAACTACCAGTGTGCAGACGAAGCAACGGCGGGTTTGTAACATAGGGAACCAAAATCCAGAGAAGAAGTGCGCTAGCCAAAGACTCTGTGACTCTCTCTCTCTCTCTCTCTCTCTCTGACTCTCTCTCTCTCTCTCTTTCTCTCTCTCTCTCTCTCTCTCTCTCTCTCTCTCTCTCTCTCTCTCTGCGGACATGCACTACGGCACAGTCAGGCAGCCTTTTGGTATGCCACCACTGTCCTAGCGGTGGCTGCTGAGCCTGCCGAGCCGTGTACAACTTGCACAAAGGAGAGCAAAGCTCCAGGCAACCCTCGGTGGTTCAGAGTCTACGGTTCAGGGCCTACTGCAGGCCCTACTGCACTTGCAGTAGAGGCGGCGTTTTCGCTGCTTGCTCACTGCTCATGCGATTGTTGTTAGTGCGGTGCTGGCCGCTGTTGAATTTGTTATGTTCTTGTTACTATTCATTCTTGCTGCTGCTGCAGCTGCTACGGCTATTAGTCTCCTTCTTATTCCTCTTTTCGTGTGTTCTCCTGATCGCGGGCCTCTTCATTTTGCGGCGTGTGTCTTGTGCCTATGGCTCTTGCCAAACTCATGCTGTTCGTCGCCATACTGAAGATCATGAATTGTCTGGGAGGTGTCCTGTTGATGCAGACGAAGACCGGCACCCTTACGAAGGCGATGCGTGAGATGGTTGTGATCTCAATTAGCGGTGTGCACCGTGCACATGTGCCCATGCCGAAATCTTACTCTAGATCTGGATAACCCGTGCAACTCGCTTGAAACCGCCGTCTCGCAATGCAGGCAGCTTCTTCCAACCCAGCCGCTTGACGGAAACCGTCGTGCGTTTTACAGTGCAGTTGAAGAAAGTCGTGAAACAGTCGTCCGACATGACTTGCTTGTCGAGGTTGCGGACGAGCTCAAGCAACCTGGCTGCAGAGCGGTCACCGGCTGCTGAGCGGTGATTTGTACCGATAGCATTTCAGACGGACCATAACTTGCCGAAGCTTTGATGCTGAAAACCTGGAATGAGGACCTTGAGGTTGGAGATGACGTCGATGATGTCAGAGCTGCAGAACAAGGCAGGAAGTCAGAGCTGCCCGATATTGAAAGCTTCTCGCGCTGTTATGCAAATTAGGTGGGATCCTGCTGTAACTGCTCCAACTTCAAAAAGGACGAGCAGGTGCTTCTACACGCACATTCACATGTTCCAAACCCGCACCACCGAGTCTGAGCGGAGCCCAGGAGGGAACCGGCTTGTGTGCGGCATTCGGCGACCCGCATTTCATTACCTTTGATGGTGCCCAGACCACCTTCGTGCTTTTGATGCACTGGTAGCTAGGAGTGCGTGACTGATCTTCGGGCCCGGTTGCGATTGAATTGCTTCCCATATGCACGCTGCATCACGAACCTAAGGTGGGCGACATGGTGCAGTGGCTGGTGAAAGGTAAGTTCGTGTACCTCCAGGCACTTTCCAAGGGAAGCCAGGCCATCCGCAAAGCTATGTTATGAGCAGAGCGCACTGACACTCATCGCATCTGCCGGTCCTGTGCCATGCGAGCTGAAGGGCTGCTTGATGGGCTTCGCAGCTGGTGGTCCCTTCCTGGATGGGCACGTCTTGACGGTTTGGAAAGAAGCCTACGACGCGCCACTGAAAGTCGCATGGGACGGCGAGATGATCCTCGAGGACCAAATGGTTTTGTAGCTTCCAACCTGCTTGTCCCAATGCCCTGCGATCCCACTCCAAACCTGTGAGCAGTTTGAGCAAAGAACGGGGGGAACGCGAGCCTAAAAGTCCCGATTCAACCTCCCAAGTTCAAGTGGGACGGCAGCATTATACACAGTTCTTCTTGTGGCTTCATACAAGGATGCTGTCAGTGAGTTCCACGTGGAGTCCCCGGGCGTGGATGCATATCGACGCCAGTCCTGGGATGCTGATGTCTTTGATGATCGCATTCTCAGCCTGCGAACTCATATGAGGTGCCATGGGCGCATGTCATCACATGTTCATCCACAGGTTGGGGGCCAGCTATTGGGCAAGTTGCCTGCGAGGGGCGAGGTATTTGGATCGGTTGTGTTCTTTCGTGGTTCGTGGGTTCTTTGCCGTGCTGCTCGAACAAGCATCATTTGCCGAGGTTCGCCATTGGCACATTTCCAGAGCGATTTGTGACGCTACCGGCAACCGGCATCTACATGTCAAGTCCCCGGTGCTTCGAAATCTGGAAACTTGTTCCTCAGGGGGAACCTTATGAGTTTGCACTTTTACTTAGGTTCAAGCTGCCCAACAACATCGCTGTGTCTTTGACCGGTGTCGATTACATGTCCTTGGTGGTGTCCATGCGTCCGGAGGAGCGAGTCAAGTAACCTTCAAAATGCTAGAGAGCTGAAGCACTGAAGCCCGAGTTGAACAAGCGCTTGCAAGCAGGTATCAAGATGAACCGTGATACTAGCTACAAGCAGTACAAGTAGATGAGAAAAGTAGCAACTTAGCTGCAGGCAGGCCAGGGTGGCTACTGTGGAGATTTCAACGGAAATCCCGATGACGATGCGGAGCCCATCGTGCCTTCGTGGGACCGACCAGTGGGTCGCTACTTGGATCCTGTGCCGCAGGACTGCGAGAGTGTGAACGTCGAGTTACAACTCCCGAGTTTGCTTCACGACCGTGTCTTCCAATGCTGGCTGGACGAGATTAACCTGCCGTGCTGGCCAGGACATGGTTCTTTTCCCCACCACGCTCACCACCGCCTTGCTGGGAGATTCGGCGAAGGAGCACACCCATATGAGCGAGGCCAGTTCTTTTGCGGCCGAGGACTTTAGGACTTAGTGTGTCCGTTGCTTCGGTGATGCACCGTATATGCTCCTTTTGCTCCGAGGCGGAGTCGATCGCCGCGAAGCTGAAGAGAGTGACCGAATGCCCTCAAACTCTTCTGGGAAAGGCAGAGGCTGCCGCGACTGTGCAGCGTTCATCCCGTTGCTGCTGTACCTTCACCGGCTCATGCCTTTCGTGAGTGGTCCATCTTCGTCCGGTCAATCACCAGGGATAGGTTCAGCACGTGTCCAAGAACAACGGTGCTACTCGAGCACAATTTACACTTACACATCACCCAGAGGTTACCGCTCGGTTGGTAGCAGTGTAGTGCGGGAGTGCGCGCACTAACACCAACTCAAACCGGGTGGTGATATTTTGTTGGCTATTTTTCGTTGTTTGTCTTATTTTTCTGGCCGCGTGGCAAGCAAGCAGGCAGGCAGGCAAGCGAGCAAGCAAGCACGCAAGCAAGCAAAGAAGCAAGGAAGGCAGAAAAGGAAAGGCATGACAATTGCTATTACTATGACCAGTACTATTAATGAGACTGTTACTACTGTTATTACTACTACGAGTGCGATGATTATTACAATAACTATTACTCGTACTATTACTATTGCGATTACTCTTACTATACTGCCAAAGCCCTCCCAAACAGTACCCTTGGAGGAGTTCTCATATAGCCAATGAGCAAGCACGAATTCAAGATTTGCGTTTATGCCGAACTTCAAATATTCGTTAAGGCAACCTCGAGGCAAGCGAGTTGGTTCAGTTGAGGGTTTGCGTGTTACGGCTTCAGGGGGTCAGGCTTTAGAGTGAGTTCGGGTTTACTCCGGACTTGACTTCAAGGAGTACTTCCTGAATCTGGAAAGCTTGAAAGCCAGCAGTGTAAACCCAAACGGGCAAAGAAGCGACAGTGAAGCTGGGTTGCCCTCATGAGAGCGGAGCTCGAAGACAACGACTGCCCAAATCGAAGGGGAACCCAGGCGAGGACGGGTTGCGAGGAAAAGCCATGCGGCAATGAGCGCGTATGCATGGCGGTGGCAGGGCTCAGTACCCCCTCGCCAGAGGGGGAAGCTAGGAGGCCCCCAAACAAGGAAACAAACAAAAAAATGAGAAAAGCAACGGAAAAAATATGCAACAAAAACCAAGCCCCTCAAACAGACGACCGTGGTACCGTAGTGAGCATAAGACTGCGAGGCACCGCACAGTGGGCAAGGAGCGTGTGTCATCAAACCACACAAAGCCAATTCCAGCAGATTCATGGCATCCAGCCAAAATCCCCGACAATCGGAAACAACTGGACACTCGCCTGCATGGGCTGTGCTTGTTGTTCGCGATTTTCGCAGGCCGCGTGCCATGGATTGCAGGCCTCCTTTCACAAGCTGCTAGGTTGAAATAGAATGCGGTTTTGCCTCAGCATGACAGCGTGTTTCAAGTGTGAGCAGCTGCATGAGTGAAGCAAGGTTCTGTGTTTTCGACGTTTGCATGACAAAGAACTTGGCTGCTGCCGGGTCTGTCGGTGCAGCTGCTGTTGTCGAGCACAAGGCTTGAGGGACATGCAGGGGCGGGGGCATGAATCTAGATTGGCTAGCAGCGGCTGGATGCCATCTCCATGTTTTCCACGTTTAGGCACGTTTTCCTGCCAAGGTGAACGCAAGAGGAGTTCCTGTGTTCATGGGACACGGCCGATGTCTGGACAAAGATGGCCATGGTTTCGTGAGCTTCCCCACCAAGCTTCGAACAGAGCTTTCGGCTTAACGGAGACATTGCATGATGCCCTCCAAACTGTAGCGTACATGCCTATAACAAAAATGAGCATAGTGGGACAACCCAGTCTACTAAACAGCCCAGCATGCCACTGGTGCCCCGGCCCGCGCAAGCCTTCGCACACGCACCGGTGTCCCAACACACCTCCGTACCACACCACCACGCCGCTACCGCACCATCACAGGAGAAGCTAGTGGCATGGCCTTTCATCTCGCTGCATCATGAAGCCATTCGGGGGAATTCGTAGATAGCGCCCTGAGCTGAGATGTTCGAGCCGTGAAAGCCGCGGTGATTTGTAGAGTACAGGTGACAGGTGCGCACGAAAGTGCCCTGAAGCTTGATTGATTCATTGATTGCTTGAATGATGAGTGAATGTTTCAAGGACACTGGCTGTCAGCAGCTTCTCCGAACGTTGGCGCTCACAGACGGTGTCATGGGAGCACAGCTGAAGCGTGGCGGGATTTGCGAGGCACGTAGGCCGAAGCATTGGAAGTCTTCCAGAGGATGGGATCCAGTAAAGCTTGTGCACTTGTGCCACGGTTTACGTTAAACACGTTTGCAGACTTGCTTGTTGGGAGGTTCTGACGGCCAAGAATACTGACCCGACGAACACTGCCATTCCGGGTGGTTGGGGCCTGCCAGATCCTCCCCGCGAGGACATGTTCCATACCAAAACCCCCAACTAAAGGCCATATGCGAGATTCAACGTGCTGCTGACCCGAACCGAAGAGGCGACATCTGGACAAACGACTTGTGACAAGCATGTGGCTACAGGACGTTTGGCAACAGATCTCCGCGCTGCCGGCACAACACTTATCGACACAGCCAGAGATGCATGCGCAGGCGACTTCCGAGCAGGGGCTTGAGGTTGGCGGCCTTCGCGCAAAGCATGAATTCCGCACTCGTGTGCTTGCAGGAAGTATCCCCAAAGATGGGAGATTCCGATGACATCATTGCGGACACCACGGTGGCTTTGAGTCTATTATCGGGGTGGGGGCGGAGACAGGGAGGACGTCTGCGCTCAAAAAGGTGTAGCCCCCACAGCTCCAGCTGCACACACGTACACAAGCACACGCACATACGCACATATCGATGCAAGTACACATGTGGCTGGTAATGAACTGAAGGTGAGTGTATGAATCTCTGCACGGCAGCTGCGGGCATAAACCGTGATTTTAGAACGGCATGATGCCACCTTCACCATTCAGGATGAAGGCTCCTACAACTGCTGGCAGTTGAACTGAGCCCGCAGAGGGCAGGAGCTGTCGTCCGCATGCAACTCTTTGCAGAATGCTTCTGAATGTGCTGCTCGGAATATGGCCAGGCAGACAGTGCTTTGCACAGCGCTGCAGCTGTGGTAGGTCGGCTTTTCTCCGAGCAGCGCTTCATCTCACTGTACTTTCGAGAGTTCCATGCTGGGTGACTGGCTCTTTCGAGGGGTGGTAGGCTCCTCCTGTAAAGTTCCTACAGATCCACTCTCGGGCAAACAGGCCCAAGAATGCATGACATGCTGAGTCAAAGGCAGCTGAGACCGCCTCTCATTGTTTGCGATGTTGGTTATAGGAACTACTGGTACGTGGTTTCAAGGCGGCTTACGGCGTTCCTTCTTCAGCAAGCTGGCGACAAAACGCCAGCAAATCTATTTCGGTGCAGATCTATAGGCTTATAGGTTTTCTGCTGCTTGCCAACATCTCTGCGTCGAAAAATGCTCCACCCCTGTCACTTGCAACAGTTCGCTCGACGCGGACATGTTCGGCACCAGCGGGATAGCAGAATTCGGAAGCTTCTGGGGGAGCCAACGACTCCGAAGCACATTCTGTACCCCAAAAAGTTGCTCTCGCGGCATGGGCCATGGGTTTTCCAGTCACGATGGGCAGCAAGCTTCCATGCCTTTGCCGGAGGCTTTCCGGCTCGAGTACAGCCGGTCTTCCGAAGAATTCTGGCCAATAAAGCAAAGAAGTTGGTCTAAAGTGGATGGGCAGCTTCTGAACTCCAGACACATACAGCCGAACGCAACCCAAGCAACCGGTGGATCCACCAGCAGCTCCATCCTATGGGGGCAAAAGTCACAAGCACGCAGAAGGAGGCCTCAGAGCGGGATTTGGGATCGGGATGGATCGGGCACATAGGCCCCGCATTCGAGAGGTCGGGGACCGTGGCGAGGGCGACTTGGGCCAGGGCCTCGAGCCTCCAGCGCTGGTGTTGAGCGCTTTTGAAGTTGTTTTGAGGATGTCCACATGCATGTCCTAAGTGGATCATCGTGGCATAGCGCCGTACACTGCCTGCTAGATGCTAGAGTCGCTGCCGCGGCAGGCCCATTGCCTCCAAAGCCGGATTCTGCGCTGACCAGCGCTCTTAGCTGCGAGGCCTCCTTATCTGGAAGGATATGTCAAGGCAACCCATTGGAGAGGAGCATCTGCAAGGGTCTCAGCATGCTTGTGTTGCCCGCTGCCTCACTTTCTTGCAGCCTGGGGCAAACGAAACATGCCATCTCGTGCCAAGACAAGCCTCTTACATTCAACATGCTGCAGCAATCATGCATGCTGGAGCTTGGTCTGCAATTGTTTTTGCGCAGACTGCCAGTACAAATCGTAGTTGCATAGTTGCATCATGGACGTGCCGATTGTGGTACTGGGCGCCGGAGATGGTGGCGTCGAAGAGCTGCAGCTGTGGACTCTTGTCTGTCATCAGTCTGCCGGCGCATGGCGGGTATAGTCATACTGCTCCTCCGTGACGGAGCTTGGTGCACGGCCCTGTAGTCAAAGTGTGCACAACGAGACCACTCGAGGGTGGATGACTCTTCCGTACAATGGGCTCTGCTCGAGTTCTGCGTGGGCCAGGCACTGTCCGGTTTCACGCCTCAGCAGTTTTTGTCTTGCTCGGAGGCTGAGATCCTTAGAGTCTTAGAGTTGAAGCAAACTGATCCGCTGAATCTACTGTCAGGGCCCTTTGGCTCGTCAGCGCATGATTTTCCTTCATGCTGCTTGACTGAGCCCTTGCGAACTGAGTTCTCCACTGTAGATGATTACTGTATCTGGTGATGCGTTTTTTTTTATTTTCTGCGGCAGAGCATCAAGAACGTCAGAAAGAAGCCAGGTGAATGGAGAGAGATGTTCCCCCATTGCTCGCGGCCGTGCGAACGAGCTGACACCTGAGGCAAGGGTTGCGCTGGTGATGCCAGAGGGCGATTCCAGACTTTAGGACGCCAACGGAAACTGTTCTCCCCGGGAGGTGCAACGCTTGATGCGGGAGGGCTTGGAGATGGGAGAGGCGTTTCATGCGACAGTGGAGGTCAAAACAGCGGAGGAGCCATCAGGTTATGCTTCAGTTCGCGCTTTGCATGGCCATGGACGGTCTTAGTCCGGGGCTTCTTAGGAGGTTAGCCTGTCCAATTTGCTCGAGCGGGTGCTTCCATTCTTCACCGTGGACGGATCTGACGGCTATACTGTCAAATGGCTGCACTCCCAATATGCATCTTGGAAGCACGGAGAGTCGGGTTCCTTCTAGTACCTTTCTAGCGCAGGTTGTGCTGTACAGTTACAGGTTGCATCATCCAGAGTTGGATGTGCCGTGTCCTGAGAGACTTTTGCAGTTCACCTCTCACGAATGCTCTCAAGTGACTCTAGCCACTAGTATCTAGTTACTCTAGTGCTACTATGTTAAGCATGTTATAAACTGGTGTAAAAAAAGCATGAGAACAGAGACATTCTCCGACATTTGTTGTATGAGCGCCCATGCCAATTTTGCAAGGTTTTGCTTCTGTCGGAGATGCTTTGACGTCGAAGCATTCCGTCGAAGCATTCAATCACCGAACTTCCAAGGAACAGCAGCTGTCTTCCGCCAAAGCTGCAGGAACTGCAGCGGCTTCCTCAGAGCCAAGAAGTGCCACCGATGCAGAGCAGAAGTCCGGCGGCGATGTTGTGGAGAGCCTTGGTACTAAAATCTGTGAACAGCCATCAGACCCTGCATCGCAGGTTCGTCCTAGCCAGGCGGGAGGCAAAAACAAATCTAGTTGTTCGTCCTCTGCTCAAGTGACAACTCGCCAGCTCTTGCAAGTCACCTGAGCCATTTCAGGATAGGTGCCTATCAAGCATCAGCCAGCAGCTTGTACAACGGCCGTGATGCCTTGAAAGCTGTGGGTGAGCCCATGGGCGCGCGGGTCTTGGAGCGAAGTCAGAGTCACGATCGCATCGCACCACAAGTACGAGAACCTGCCTGCATCTCCTTGAGGCATGGAACTGGGCCTTCTTCCAGGCTGATCCTGTCAACCTGAAAGTTGTGGGTGGTGGAATCGGGAGCCTGGAAGAGATGAAATCCTGCCGCGGCCTCAGCAAGACATCTGTAGCATTCATCTCGCATTCTTGCTCGGCCCGTTCTAAAGCGACATTGTCAGGCTATGAGTCGCATCCAACTGACGTTTTGTTCGGCTTGCTACGCTTGGGATTCGGCGAGGGGCGCCTGCGACGGACGAAGTACGTCTTCATACATGCGGTTGGTGTCTCTCGGCGGAAGCGGGCAGCAATGGAAAAACAATGATCGAAGAACCAATGACTGCTAACTAACTATGTAACCTAGGAGGCAAGGGAAGGACGGAACTATAGAGGTGTGAGCGATGCGGGCCAGAAGAAAGGAAGGCTGAAGGAAGGACTGAAAGACCCAGAAGGGGACGCAAACAAGACTGCCAATTTGCAATGGCCTATAATGGAAATTAAGCAGAAAGAGATCCGATGAGAGTCATGCGGGTTTCTTTGCTCACGCTCAGAACAGAGGCGAAGGCACCAGTGGTAGCACGTGGGAGACTGTCGGCCGAGAGACCGAAGATGGAGGAGGCTGCATCGGTCAGTGCTAGGGCAGCAGGACGGCAGTACGCTTCTGTGCAACTTGGGCAGGTCTTTGGGCAGTTCGCAAGTACTTCGGTCACGATGGAGATTCAGCATCTTGCAGACCTCACGCTGGACAGCGTTGTGGAAAGGGTGCCATGTCACAGCATTTACGCTTGGTGCTTGCGCGTCACGGATAAACTAGAAGTCGGCCGTCGAATCTGGGGTTCATGAGGATGTGTGACGTATCTATGAAGCAGATGGACAGAGTGCCAACACCAAAAAGCCAGACTCAGCATCATGACCTGCAGCGACGGTACATTGGGCCGGGCGACGGGGAAGGTTCGGCGTGCTGCCATCGTCGATGACGACATTCTTGGACGGGATGCTGGCTCCCCCTCAGTCACTCTAATGCATGCATGCAGCCTACGTAACGCTTCGAGCCTGCTTCTTGCGGAAATCTGAGTGCGCAGCCTTGAACAGACGCGTTGCTCTCAGGTCTTTTCTGTCGAGGCCTTTCAAAAAGCACTCCGGTAAGCATATGGATGCCTCTTTGTTGAAGCACTGTTGCTGGCGGTCACATTACTTTTGGCTCCAAGGCACTGCAGGAGGAAAAGCTCGGGCGCGCTGCCGAGCTTCAGACGCTCCGGCGCCGGAGCACTGGGCTGGGTCTCGAAGCTCAATTGCTCTGTTCCATCATGTTCCAAGCCGACACCGCAGAAATTGGGGAAGATTTCGACCAGGTACAGGCCTCCCTGCAGATCTTGTCTCGGAATGGGCTGGGCGACCTCTGTCGGAAGTAGTTTCGCTGGTTCACAAAGTTGGTGGGCCACTCAACTGGGCCCTTTTCGCCCCAGCCACCCAGCAGGCAGCAAGAGAGTGATTCATTCTGGTGCTGAGTCCAGCCACGGCCTCGAACCGCTCTTCTCTTTAAGGATCCGACCTGGTTAAGTCGTAGGCGCACGGTGAAGACCACTCAGGCGCAGAGTGTTTTGGCGCGAGACTCCACCAGCCATCACGCCGGGGTGTGTAGTGGCCTTGATTTTCCAACTTTGTTATGTAGAGGCGTCCTTGCTACCAGATCAAGTCGCTGCTCCTAGCGGCGGCTATCTCAGAGCAGAGGCAGGCGAGAGTTGGCCTCCGCGTGAAGCGCCAATCACTGGGGTCCGTGGATGCTACGGGCTGAGCAGGCTTCCCGAGCAAGCACTCCGGCGAAAGAACGTCCGGGTAAGTCGATTGAGGAGCCAGACAGCGCCACCAAAGAAACAGCCGCTGTGCCTTGCAGATTGACGGTTACTTGTGTTCGCTTTGATTCGATGCTATGTCGATACTAGCAGTCTCTTGCGGTTAAGGAAATAAGCTGCAATTCCACTGCCGCAGACAGTCCAATCACGCCAGCACAGGACTGCGCAAACCTCAAATTAGATGAAGCAGTTCGCTGTCTAACCTTTTCTCGCTTCTCCTGTCGCCAGGAGCAGCCAGATGCTCAAAGTGATGAGGACACGCCCCGAGGAAGCACCATGTCGTTCTACCAGCTACACCACACAGCTCATCGAATTTCCGGACCCCTGCTGAAGCAATCCAGTGTCTTGGCCGGTGCTTGCTTGTGATAAGACCGTACCTGATCATGTATGACCCAGACCTCACAAGAAAACTTCAGCTATGCGATCGTTCTGACTTAAACACCGGAGAGTCGTGCTTTGGCTAGCTAATGTTGCTATGTCGTTTTGTCGCTTTTGTACTGCTAAACCGGAACATTCGTCATCATCCTACACGCTCCCATCAGACAATAATGTTCGGTAGAGGTCATCTTGTTGATGCGAGAAAGAGTTGTGGTACAAATCATGACGGAGGTGCTTGGCATGGACGCTGGCAGCTGCGATGGATGGAGGTGAAAGGCCGGGCATGATGAAATGCAACCTAACTCACCTACAAATGCCTGAGCATGTTGCAGCAGATTGTGGCCCAGGCGGTCATCTGATGTGGTGGCACGGGCCCACCTTCGTTTCCAGCGAACCAGTGGGCATGCTGCAATTGGCCGGGCTGAAGGCCGGCTGAGAAGCGAAAACCCGAAAGCGGAGCTGGCCCCTAGCTTTGCTTAGCTGCTCAAGGTGCAAAGCCAGGGCAGCACATTCTCCTTGAGCACAACAGGGGGCAAGCAAAAGGCCGTGCCAGCGTCGGACTGCGACCGGGCCATATCCGGCCTCCAAAGATCCTATGCTGCTCAATAGCTGGAAGGTGTATCACCTCAGTGCAGACGTTGCCGATGCCGCTGCTGCTGCTGGTTGGGTAGCTCCAGCATGGCCCAAGGCCCGACTTGAGGGCACTTGCGAGCAACTAAAATTCAACCAACTTTGATAGGATCTCCAGGTTCAGTCAGTGTCTAATGGGATTGTGTACGTGGGGGCAAGCTTATCTCTGAGAAGCGGCCTTGCTCCGGCAGGCAAAATACTGGATCCAGGCCCTGGAACAGGACTATCCATGATTCATGTCTCTCTCGTGCCACCGTCCTTACTGGAGTCACCGCAGAAAACGGCCTCGACTTCATAATATACTCTTGGAGATCTCGAAGGTTGTGATGGAAAGAGAGAGCTAACTTAGAGCTCGCAACAACCCAGCATATCCGCCGCATCCCTCCGCTCCTTACCCTGCCCAGCTGGATCCATGCATCAATGTTGGGGGGCCAAAACCCTCCAAAACAACGCCTGCAGCAGAAACCCGTCGAAAGACCCTGCTAAGAAACAAACACTCTGCGGAGGAGAGTCGGAGCCAGGTCTCGTTCCACGGCTGAAATGCCTTTCGGAGCCGAGAAAAAAGAGGAAGAACGAGAAGTTTTCTGAACAGAACAGCACAGGCACTCCGGGGAAATACCCGGGTGTGTAGAGTGAGAGTTTGTTGTCCAGTTTGCAGCCATGCGCCTGGAAACAAGGAAGGCTTGCATCCGCTCGACTTGTGGGAAAGATCTGACAAGCGGCTTACAGGGACGCTTTCAGGGCATTTTGCAAGGTGGATCAGACTCTCTAGCGAGCAGGCCTCATAGTTTCCAGGCTTACAGACTCAGCTTGCAAAGCAAGCAGTGTCAGGGAATGCCTTGCGAGCATGTGCATACTCCGCTGGAGACTTACGGCTTGAGTTGTTGAACCACACACAGCAGTTAAAAAGCCTTTTTACATAAACGTGCTGCTGATAGATTACTATCCATTACAAAGTTTTGTCGGCCAGGTGTTGAATACAACAAAGGGGCTGGCACCTCGAGATTCTCATTGGCGTCGCTTTATCATTGACTTCTTCCCAGTCACAGTGCCAAGCTTTCTTGCGCGAGTTTCCTGTGTTGATGCAACAAATAAAGGCTGCTGAGAGGATGCTGGGGAAAGTTCACTGCGGATGCCCTCGGCTCATGCACGTATACCAGACAAGTCTTCTGAGCACACGGCATGCCTGCCCTTGTAGCTTTCAGCAAACCGGAAAGGAATTCTTCCAGACTTAGAGACAGCGGGCCAAGGCATTCTACAGGCATTTTCCTCGTCAAGTGGATGCGATGAAAACCATCCGCAGCTGGGACGGCAGCATCGTAGCATCACGGAGCGGCTTGAGCCGTTCTTTGTGTTCCGTATCATATGCTTCGAATTGTTGTGAATACTTCGCATGACTTGAGTATCTCTGACAGGCCTGGTTGTGGTAGATTTGCATGGCCCCAAAGCAAACAAACCTGAGGCCACATCATCCTGCATGTGCTCGACATAACGAGATATGCAGCCCGAGAAGGTGAGCAAGTTGAGGCCGGCTTGGGTACTTGCCGACAGACACAGAATCATTCTGTCCGCATGAGTCTGAGCACACCTGATTTTCGGACGGCAGGATGTGGAATTGCTGGGCGAGGGGAGCTTCTCCAAAGTATTCGGGTAAAGCCCTGAGGCAATGAACTATGATGGCAGAATGCATTCTGTGAACTGGCGCAGCTTCTGAAAAACTTTGCCAGAGTCAAAGTCAAAGCACTGAGCCCAGGCTCGGCCCAATTGCTGCGAAGGTCATCAGTGAAAACGAACGGCCGTGGGTACATAGGCTGGGCAGCGCTTCGCTAGCGTCGAGACCAGTACGGGAATTCAATTGTTCGTGGTTCTTTGCAGGGCAGCGGTCCAAAACGGGCTTCTTGCCGACCTGCACGGCTACGGTGCCTGGCCGAGTGCTGATACAGTACTGTATTCAGTCGCGCATTTCAGTTACTTGCGCAGGCCCTAAGACTTCACGTTAGCCCAAGGTCTTTTGTAAGCAGACAGCAGAAAGCTCCCGCTGAAGCATCACGGTCACTGCAAGTTGCCATCCCGAGGCCCAGCAGTTTTTGGACACGGCCGTGTGCAGCAAGACATGGGTGGACACTTCAGAGGCACGTTGGCCGTTGGCCGTCAATTCAGTACCAGTAGCAACTGCATTTGACGTCAAGCTTTGAATGAGTTCAGGCAGTCTTGAACAATCGCACCACGTCCCGAGGCACGGTGGTATTCATGGAGAGACTCTACCCCGCTGGCGAGGAATCGTGCCAAAACTGAACAAATTGGCTCATCAACTGCTCGTGGCTGCACATTGCCTCATGGGCAGTGAGAATTCGGTTGGAATGCAGGAGTGGTCCGACGCAGACACAGACCACGTCTTGGAGGCAAGACTTACACAGTGCCAGGTGCACCAAGCCAGGCATCTTTACAACTGCTGGAGCCTTTGATCGGGTTTAGGACCTTAGGACCAACACGCTTGACCCTGGACATCCCTGCACGTGTTGCTGCAAACCTGCTTTTGCTTCTAGCAGCCGCCATGACAGGCAATTCAGCGAGTCGCTCAGGATGCGTTCCACAACGACCTCAAGGCCGCAGTACAAACTCCGACGGGAATCGCAGACGAAAGCACGTCGGCAAGTCCACCTTGTCTCTTTGCATCGCCCCTGCCTGCCTGGGTCGGGGTTGTCTTGTGACAAGATTCGAAGTTCGTGTGATCGCCGGGGCTCCATTCCAAACTGCGAGCAATATATCCTGATGCCTGCAGAGAAGTTTTCCCAGATCGGTGCATTTTCGCTGGTGGCAGCACTGCTTTCCGATTTGAGAACAAGGACAAGGACAAGGTGCCACAGACCACAGGCAGTTGCAGACCGTGTCACAGAATCACAAGACCGACGGCGCACAAGTGTTCTGTGTCTGTCTGGGCAATTTCCAGCACTCCTTTACACATGTTTGTTTTGCATAGGCGAATGCGCTTGTGTTGATGAAATGTTGTTCCAGTAGCTGTAAAGTTTCTCCCCGAAACCTCGTCTGACTTGTTCGAGCATGAGTGACAAGAAATGCATCGTTTTAAATTGTAAAGATATTTGATGATATTTGTATGCTTTATGTAAGGAGTGAGTGTGAGATGGATGTCATGCATTCCTCTTGCCCGATGATGGACTTGTCACTTCTGCTAGCAGCATGCGTGTATAATTCCTCGTCACTACGTTCATGACCCGCCTGTCAGAGACCCGGATGCCAAAATGTGCCAGATCGGTGAAACTCATCCTGAAGGAACCGCAACGCATACTGACTCTGCTAGATGAGATTTAGATACACTCCGATCCCTATCCAGCTTTTGCCTCGTGTGACAGATGCCGAACATTCTTCGGAGAAGAGGGCGCCCTCTTCTGTTCGTAGCTCAGTTCATGCATACACTTGAGACCACTCATGCGGACGGAAAGGTGGCCTGCTAGTCCCTTGCACCCGACGGCCTTACAGGATCGATTTCGACCTGCTGTCGCCTTGGTGCGTCAAGGCTGGCAGCTCAGACGCCTGATGACAAGATGCATCGCAAGAATTGGTGCGACGAGTCTCGGATCAACGAGGTGGCTGTCACGTCAAGCTGCATCGAGCACGTCGAGAGCTCGGTTCCTTCTTCTTGGGGTTTCGCTGCGTGGCCTACCGTAGCTGATGGGCTTGCGGAGGGCGGAAGGCTCAGAAGCGGAACCCGAGTCCAATTCTTTCACGGGAATACTTTTGACAGCTACCGGTAGTTAGAGCTCAACCCCCGGCCTCACTGGGTCGTAAGTAATCGAAAGATGATGGTTCGACTTGATGAGTACAGCCTTGCTTGAAAGCAGCTTCCGCTCCAAAACAGCTGCTGCATGGTGTCTTCTTCTTGCAAACTTATGAATCCTGATGCTGCTGACAAAGGATTTCCGGTCATTGCTGGAGCCAGCAGGCAGGAAGCATGAGATTCATGAAGTTCTGTTCATCATGGACCTGGAAATCTATCGAGTTCACCTATCCGATCACAGGAGAGATTTGCACGCAATCCTTCCGGGAGTTCTACGACCTGTTTGCCTTCACACTCACACTGCAGGATGCGTTGCTTATGTTGTGCGGTGATGTGCACGCCACTTGAACGTAAACTTTAAACTGGGCCGACATGATCACGCATGTCAAGCCAGGCTCGAGAAAGCCGTTCAGCACGAAAGAAAGCAGCAAAGCGAGAGCAAGAGTGCTGCTAGGTGATCAGCTGAGCAGTCACTGTACAAGTAGCACAGCATCTAGGAGCTGCGGTGTAAAAGCATCAGGATGCATCAGGCATGACTAGCAATACTTTCCTGCTGGTGGAGAGAAGGCCACACTCAACGACAGACTTGGACAAGCGTCCGTCGTCGTCACCACACGTACATGCAGAAGATGATCAAGGAAGACGCAAAGAGCGATGCAAGTAGCATGTGAATAGCTCGCCTGTTCATCGCTTGCCGCTTCTTCCAGCTGTCGAACGTGTCTGGGCTTCATTTGTGCCTGCGAGAGCCACTTCTTGCGGCATGCTGTCTGGCTATTGCAGCACAAAGGTCCAAAGCACGTGCTCGGAGCGAGGATGATGGGAGCTTACCACTTCCTGGATGCAGGATTTGTCGAAATCCGCAAGTTTTGCGAGAGACCACAGGGTGCATTGGGATGGTCAATCTGCTTGGCTGACAATACGGTGACCATGCTTAAGAGACGCTGTGGGCTTTCACGCCGCCTTCTGCATCAGTCGAGAAGCTAGGGATGTGCAGCTTTTTCATTTGCGGAGCTTCCCTGCAGAACTCTCCACAAGGCAATCCTGTGGTCGAGCAGCAGCTTTTTTGGTCTAAAGCTGAGCGTGTGGAATGTCACAAGAGAAGGGTGCACGTCATGTCACCATCGGCTGCTTCGCTGAAGTCACTCGCTTCAGCACATCTCGAGACGAGGCTGCTCTCACCCCGAACACGGCGTTCGTCAGCGCAACGTGTCATGCCAGCAAGAGTCCTAAGAATGTACAATGGGCTCGTGCATCAACTTGCCCGTTGGCTGTGTGCCGACAAGCGGAAGAGCAATCGGAGGCAGTGTTCCCTTTCCCAAGAACCTATTCGTTCTATTGCTACTAGCAATGCCACGCTTAAAGAGGTGTGGCAATGGCCCTCACAGTCTACCTCCACCATTCACAGATGCGCCAATGCCCCAGTGTTTGCACTTGTGACGTGGAGCCGTGTCAGAAAACCAGCTGAGAGAGGGAGGTAGAGAGACTGAACGAGGCACAGCAAAGACGTATGCAAGCAGTGCCTCACGTCAACCGACTGTAAGCTGCAGCCTCGGCATTCAAGAATAGTGACTGTGATCGACCAAGAGCCATCTTCTTGGTCCCAAATGTCTCAGCACATTTCCAAGTGAGACCGACCATCGAAACGTGCAGCCGAGGTGGTGTCCTCTGAGCCAAAGCTGCGGCACCAAGGGCATGTTCTCGAAAGGCTGCATGGGATCTCGCGATCAGGATAAGCCTGCCAGCAGCTCAGCCCGTTGTGTGGCCTAATCCTTATTGAATGAATCCCCACAGCGGTCACAGGGAGGATGCAGGCCTTCTTCTCCTTGTGATTTTGCTATTCCAGTCCGTGCTTCTCAGACTCTAGGGGTGAAATGCCCAGCAGCACAGGAGTTGAGGAGCCCACCGGTCGAGCCAAGCCAGAGCAGCTTAGGGATCAGAGCGCTCAAAGACACGAAAGACCAGTCTGCAACAGTATTGCAAAAACGCATCGCCCAGCCATGCGCTCCACACGTGATTTGCCCTCGGGAACCCTGGATACGGCCATTGGGATTTCCGTGTCGCACAAGGGGCCGGTTCAAAATCTGCATAAATCTGCCTTTCAAGCCGTAGAAGTAGAAGACTTCAGGAAGTAACTGGGAACATGTTCCCTGCAGACGAGTACCACACGTCTCTGATGCGAGAATGGGTGTTCTGCGAGAAGAAACAGTTTCGTTTAGGTGGAATCCGGCGCAGACTGCGCTGGTCCGAAGCCAAGCTGGATGAGCCTGCTAGCCCTGCTCTCAGCCGGCAAACAAACATCCGCAGCCAGCTCTTCCCCCATGAGTCGTGCAGCTGGGTTCCTGCCCAGGACACAAAATATGGTGAGCGCCTGAAACAGGCACCGTCTTTTCATGCCTACAGGTAGAAAAGCCATGAAGACTAAGTGACTTAAAGAAGCTCGGTTGCCCGGATTCAGGCAGACTCTGACATAATGCGCTGCCTTCAAGGACGCTGGTGCCCCAGACTGGCCAAGGCGTAGGGCAGGTGGCTGTGCATGTGTGCTTAGTGGAGTTGAAGTCCAGGTGTGGAGCGCTGGACGGTGACTGGGCTGAGGGTGATATTCATTCGGATCATCCACTTTCAGGTCCCTGTGTGCGCGTCAGACTTTTCTTGGCCTCGGGGTGTTGACATCGAAGTCACATCATGCCTGCTATGGGCAGTGGCAAACAGCAGTGGGCCAGGGCAGAGGCCGCATTTTCCAGATAGAACGGTACAGCCAATCCGGCCACTGCTGCTCAGGTCTGGCCGGATACAGAAAACCCTCACCAAGGTGACGAGAAGAAGGCAAGCCAGCACCGCGGATATCTAAATGAAAGCACTCTGCTCGATTTTCATTTCTACTCGTACAGTGCCACGGTTTCACTGTAGCATACTGTCGCAGACTGCTCGGCCATGTTGAACTTCCACGAGCTTCTCGGATGATCAGATGCAAATTTGGGTAGAGTTAGTTTGCATCCGGACTTGACAGCTTGAACCGAGCCCAACCAAGACAATGCAGACAAGGCGCGACACACATACAAACACGGACATCAAAACAATAACCGTTGAAGACATTTTGGCAAACTTAGGAGGAAGTCGACATATCCAGCCCACTTCAGCCCAGCAGCAATCACCACCAGAAAGCCGCTTGAGAGCCCGGCTTGGGCATGCCGCAATGGCCAGACTTGCGGCGGATGCGCAAGCTGACGGGCCAGTACTTCTAAGGTCCGGACGGGCGAAAGGAGAGATTTGGAACCGTGCGCGAGTGTCCTCCGAAAGAGAAGAATGAATATCTGGAGCCCCAGGATGCCAACTATCACACAGTGTCAGGGAAGGTAAAAGAAAGCTCACCATGGCTGGCCAAGCATCTCGCCAGGCAAATCCTCCGCTTCGTGGTGCCAGTTACGGCTGCCTATGCCTTAGAAGGTCGGCCCCCTGGAGCTTTCCCATAGGCCCTAAGGCCTTACCGTTAGCGATTCAGCTGCTCTACTTCTACGAAAGGCGCAGCCACTGTGGTGCCAATATGGGCCGCCGCACATGGTGGCAGCCCGGATGCTCGGACTACAACTTGTCCAGAAACTCACTAAGATTTGGCTCAGGTATCTTAGATCCACACTCTGCTGTGAGGCACTTAAATAGACCTTTAATACCGAAGTGCATGCAGCAGAGCTTTGCTTGTCAGGATGAAGCGGAAGCAACGATGCGAGTCGGCGCCGTAGGTTTGGGCAACACTGTGGTGGTGTGCGTGGCCATTGTCATCAAATCAGGCTGGTCAGGCCGACTGGCGACATGAAACTGGGAAGGGCGGGGGTTGCCAAGTGCCTATGCTACCGAATGAAGCATAAGAAGTCGCTGCAGAGATGTCAACTCAAGAGAGACGACAGACCTCAGCATTCGGCTTTGACATCACACGACGGGCGTGTTTCTTGTGTGTTCTTCCGGTATGTTGGATATCGTTTTACTGCACCCTGACTACTCCCCCTGCGCATCGACAGGCGCACAAGACACGCTGGTGTCGCAAGCCTACGGTGTGCAAGACCACCGGAAAGCCAGGGAGCACCTCAACTGTTGCCAGATTTGGATGCTGCTGTTGTCGGCAGCATGCACGTTTCTGCTGCTACAGACGGAGGCGGGGATGTGTCCCTGGCTGCTTCCAAGGATGTAAGAGGCTTGTTAAGCCGTGGCGTATTGTTGCTCTCTTTAGAAACTGCCCTTGACATATTGAGGGGAGGAAGGGCGCCAGCGGCTGCATCCATAGGACTAATCATGGTTTGTGTGCGGGATTTGGCTTGCCGATGCAGCGCTGATGGTTTAATTTTTTTGGACGGCTCGTTCTTGACTGCACCGCAATGAGAACTGCAGGCGCTGCTTGTTTGGATCAACTGTGCGAATGAGGAGCTCGCTGCGGAGACGTTCAAGCCTTTTGGTGGCTCATGAGAACAGACCAAGGGCTATGACAGCTATGACGAACGCAAATCAGGCTCATACCAGCAAGCAACCGAGTGCATGAAATTGAAGAGATCACCAGAAGTCCATGGTTAAACTGAGCCTGCTGCCCACGAAAACGAAATAGATATGAGCACGTCTTTTTTGCTTTGCTGCAATACTACACAGGTATGTACTCGCCTGTGTTCCTGGAGTTTGGCTGGAATTTCAGCAGCTCTGCGGCAAGTCATCACCGCCTGCGGCGAGCCAGCTATAGCCCCTCTGACCAAAAGCTTGGCCATCCAATCTACGGCGCACTGCATTGCTAGCCAAGGTACGACTCATTGAGGAAGTTCTTGATGAACCAGCAGATCCCGTCGCCAGGAGCGTGCATGCGCTTGCCAATCAAGAGGCACGGTGAAGTGAGGATCCAAACAGTCCGACGTGCAGGTCTGTGGGTGTTATGTGCGGCCGTGCCATGCCATTTCATCATGTGCGTTCTGCTACTTGAAGGGCCAGAGCCCCATGTCGACCTAGATAGCCGAGTCCTCCGGATTTCTTCTCTGCAATTGTCCACTAAGGACTTCCGTCGATCCGCTCTTCGCAATTGGGATCGCCTTTTCCGTGAAGTCTGGGCTGTCTTTCCTGCTGTTGGCAGGCAGGTTGGCCGAGGGGGGGAATCTTCGGAAATTATGAGCGTCTTGCGCAGACTCCGGGGTGGAGAAGCCTCTCCGGTTCCAACAGAGTCCACCAGACTGCGTCGTTGTCACTCGTTTATTCGTGCATGCCGCACGCCATATGAGGCTATTTGACATGGCTACTGCCAACACCCAGCTGTGTGGGCTGGTGGAGGATCTGGGAGTCATCCGCGCTCACCTGGAAAGGACACGTTCAAACCTGGCACATCAAATGTAAAGTTTTGGAACGGTCCGGCAGCGCTTAAGCATGCAGAGATGCTGTGCAGTCCCAGCAGCCAGGACTGGCATCCTATGCAGTCATTGGCGTGCCTAGCGTGGCCATGTACGGCTTCGACTGGTGGGCCTACGAGATCTTGACCTTGCTGGCCGGTGGCCTGCACAGCCAGACCCAGCTCGCAGCTCCACGTCTGCAAGAGCAGTTCTGGAAAAAAAGCAGCAAAGCGAAGTACCCGCCACCTGAGGCACATGTCGCAGCAACAAGTGCACCGTGGCTGATAAGGGCTGTTCTCGAAAGTGAAGGGAGGAATCGAGAGAGCTCTAGACGGTGCTTGCTTGCTGAATCGACCCCGCGTCTCCAAAACTGCCGAACACCCCAAAAGTTTCAGACCCACTTCCTTCTTGGAGCCGAAGGCTTCGGACTGGGCATTCCTGATGGTCAGGGGTGCTCCCAAAGCTGCAACTGCTTTGGTCGGGGCAGCTGTGGGCCGAAAGGACTTGGACGCAGTCTTCGTCGTGGTGCAGGTGCCAGGGCTGGGAAACACCTGTAACAGCAAGCGTTTCGGCAGTTGTGTGCATGCGAAACGGTCCTGTACACGAACACAGAGACATGAAGATAATTTTGCTAACGAAATTCGTTTTTTTTTTGTGTTGGGTTTAGGGGAGGGTTGACCCCCAAGAGGTCAAGCCCGGCCCGACCGCGGATCTCTGGTGACAGCCAGAAGCAAAGACCAGAAAGCGGTGATAGACAGCCCCAACAAGGCAGTTGAGCATGGTGACCCTCAAATTCCAGTGGCAGATCAGTGCAGCTTCACTGATGAAGCAAACGGTGGAGATGCCAAAGCGATGCGCGTAGCACGTCCACCAACCATGGGAATTTGACTGCTAAGCAGCATTACCACAAAACCGCGAACATGGAGATACCAGCCCTGGTGACGCAGTGCTGAGACCAAGAATCTGGTGGCAGAGAGAGTGCTTGCATTACACACACACACACACTCTCTCTGTCTCTCTCTCTCTCTCTCTCTCTCTCTCTCTCTCGCCCTTGCGGGCATGCATCAGTGCACAAGCAGCATGCATGCGCCAACGTGTTTGCTACATTAGCTGCTACATGTTGCTGGTGGTTTTCTCGGCGACACTGCACTCGCAAGCAAGCCGGGCCCATGAGTCAATACGTGTGTAGCTGCTTAGCTGGGAAGGCATGCATGAAGCTGACGATCATCATGTGCGGTGTACTTGTGTCTGGTTGCTTGGTTTGGCGGCATCAGCTTCTCGGCTGCACTCGAGAGCATCGCTACGGTGCAGCAGAAGCTGCCTTGATCCCGCTCCCCTAGATCATCAGTCTTGAAGAGTCCGTTGGTCTGCTGTGACGCTTGCACAGCAGTTTGGGGAAGCTTGCAAGCGTCAGGTTGGCCCATGCACTTCTCCCTGACGAAGCTTCAACTCAAGCAATTTTTCTACGCTGCTTGCATGGCTGAGATCACACTCGCTCCGAAGCGATGTTCTTCAAGAGCTCGCCGACCCAAATCTCGCGTCGAGGTTTACTTCCCTGCGTACTTCTGCAACTCTTGGCCGATGGGGTAGGCGCCTAAGATCTTAGTCGGATGGTTCGCAGCATGGGCTTTGTACCGAGACTCATTCTAAGGTCAACAGTTTGTGCAGCGGGGTCTTCGCTGGATTGGGGCGGCAAGGAGCAGTATCGGCAGGATTGTTTGCGTTTCAATGGGCCCGGTGCCCCAGTGTCGGGTTCAGGGTCATAGCCCCTCAATCCATCCAGCAGACAGTGCCATGCTATGCCGTGTGTAGAGCAGCACCGAGCTCCTTCGGCAAGTCGTCGCTTGAGGTGGTGCAGCTTCCTGGAGCTTGGCTGCTGGGGCATCTCGGCCGAATTTGGTACTGTAGACATCTGCGAGTACGCTGCATGTGGCGGACCAGCTCTCAGGTTTCACTACGGTATGGGAGCGCTTGGCTTGCATGTCGCATCCTGCGCCACCTCTATCTTGAATGTGATCTACAATGGTATCCTTATGAGGTCTGGGACCAGTCAATTGGTTTGTCTCAAAGTTGGGCTGACATGTTGCAGGTACTGCTTGAATGCTCTTCGGGCGCAGTGCGTGCCTGTGAAGGACATTCAAGCGTTGATTGCACGCCACACTTTTCAGTCACATCCTGCATGTGGCACAGGAGTACGCCATGTTGAGGGTGAGCGCTCACGACCATCAAGCGTGAGACACAGGCCACTACGCGGAGTTCAGGGCGTGGCTTGCAGAGCAGGCATGCAAGGCATCTGCTCCGGCAAGCTTTGCGGAATTCTGGATTGCTTTACTTTACTCTTTTCCAAGCCCGTGTCTCTTGAACGAGTTCGGGTGTCCGAATACACTTTTGTGCATGACCCGTGTTGAGCAGAGAAGGAGCATATCAAAGCATTGCTACTTTCACCGGCTGTTCCTGAGTTCGCTGGACTCCTGCCTGGTGAATCGATGTGCCAGTCCAAGCTCGGCTGGATGTGCCAGCCGGAGATGAATTGGTCGCGTTGGTACAAGTAGCTGTTTTCAACAGTCACAGAGTGCGAGGGCTTTTGCTTGCTCGGCACATCCATCTGCAGCGCCAACAAGATGCCTTGAAGCGAGGGCTCAAAAAGTAAACAAGACTGATATTAGACAGTTTGGACAATTGGATTGTGTCAGAGACCCTTGTGACTGCACATGGACTTTAGGTTTTGCTGCAAGCGCATGAGGGGAGATGCTTCGGAGAGGTATCGAACTACGCCTGCATGTCAGCGATGCTCCGCGAGGCTGTGCGGAACCCTGGAATTCGAGGAACCCAAAGACAGTGGCAGCCTGCATGCGAGCACTTAATTCGGCAAACCCAGCTGCACACGTGTGTTTGAAAGCTTGTTTGCTGAGTGGTGCTGCGGAATTTGGCGTTCAAGCTGCTTGTTGGATGGGCTGAAAACCAGTCCCCGATTTCGCAACACACCCGAGGGCTATCATATAAGACATGCGTCTTTGAGGCGTGTCCCAGCCTCCCATGCCGAGTCCGATAGTGCAACGGTTGAGGAATACAAGAGGGGAGACATATGGATGTGCACTGTCTCAGCAACTGGAACTCCCGACACCAAGAAGACATTGTCAGGAAGCTAGTGTCCACAGTGGTGGCATGCCACCTGAACATGGCAAACGACGCATTGCACAGCAAGTTCGAGCCGCTGCTGAGCACCGTGAAGGACCGGTTTTCCCGACAGCATGCGAGTGAGTAAGATTGCTTTGTAGGCTGCCCCAGGCTTGGACCTCAAACAGCCGACACATGAACTCGGGATGTCAGCCTCTGCATGTGGATATTTGCAGCAACGCTCCTGCACAGCAAGGGCAGAAGTCGTGCAAGAAACGGTCTGGTGAACTCGGAGAGCCTTGTTAATGGCTTAGCCGGAGGGTGATTGCGACTTGAGTCCGAATTTGCTTCGTTTGGCATCCAGGCTAGATCCGAGAAGCCGCGAAGGTTCAAGTTTCAGCGACATCGCACTTGGAAAGCTAGAGCAATGCAGAAGTATTACGTCAAGCAGGCGGATGGGACGCTTACGTGCCACTACGGCACCGTGCCAGGAGCTGGCGCACCGCCCGCGGCTGTGCCCGCAGCCGTGCCGCGCGCCTCCGTTGCCGCACCGGTGGCACCTGGCCAAGTAGGCCTCTCCATGCAACCGTCAGTCCCAAAGATATCGGAAAAGGATGTGAAGAACGCACAGGCAGCGTGGGCCAGCGCCATCAAAAATATTTCCAAGATCTTCTTGGATGGAGGAGACTACGTTGCAGCTGCTGCCAAAGCTGCTGGCGAGCTCTATGGCTATGGCCACACAGACGTGCTCTTCAAGCCCACTAAGGCAGCCGAAGTGCCGTTTCGACCAACTGGCGCAGATGCCATGTCCTACTTTGTTGGGCACAAAGCGGTCGAGAAGGGCTATGCTGAGGATGCTGGCTTTGCCATCAACGGCGGCAAGGGATGGTCGGATGTGGTCTTTCGCAACCACCAGGTGGACGTTAGCGGCAATGTTGCCATTGCGATGGGCAACTACTTCTTCACGAGCGCAGCAGACGGAAGCAAGACCAAAGTTGAGTACACATTCGGCTACAAGATGAATGCAGACGGCAAAGTGCGCATCTTCTTGCATCACTCGTCAGTGCCCTTTGCTTCCCCAGCTGCGGAGATTTCCGAAGAAGAAGTGCAGACAGCACAGGCAGCGTGGGCCAGCGCCATCAAGCGCATTTCCAAGACATACCTGGATGGAGGAGACTACATAGCAGCCGCTGGCAAAGCAGCTGGCGAGCTCTACGGCTATGGCCACACGGACGTGCTTTTCAAACCAACGAAGGCAGCCGAAGCACCGTTTCGGCCAACTGGCGCAGATGCCATGTCCTACTTTGTTGGGCACAAAGCTGTCGAGAAGGGCTATGCTGAGGATGCTGGCTTTGCCATCAACGGCGGCAAGGGATGGTCGGACGTGGTCTTCCAGAACCACCAAATTGACATCAGTGCTAAGGTTGCCATTGCCATGGGCACGTACTTCTTCACCAGCGCTGCAGATGGAAGCAAGACCAAAGTCGAGTATACTTTCGGCTACAAGAAGAATGCAGACGGCAGAGTGCGCATCTTCCTGCATCACTCGTCAGTTCCTTACCGTCTGCCCCCCGCGGCTCCAACCGCGAAGATTTCCGAAGAGGAAGTGAAGGGCGTGCAGGCAGCGTGGGCCAGCGCCATCAAAAATATTTCCAAGATCTACCTGGATCGAGGAGACTACGTTGCAGCTGCTGCCAAAGCTGCTGGCGAGCTCTATGGCTATGGCCACACAGACGTGCTCTTCAAGCCCACTAAGGCAGCCGAAGCGCCGTTTCGACCGACAGCGGCAGATGCCATGTCCTACTTTGTTGGGCACAAGGCGGTCAAGAACGGCTATGATGAGGATGCTGGCTTTGCCATCAACGGTGGAAATGGATGGTCTGACGTGGTGTTTGAAAACCACAAGATTGATATCACTGGCGATGTTGCCGTTGCCATGGGCACCTACTTCTTCACCAACGCTACAGATGGCAGCAAGGCCAAAGTGGAGTACACGTTCGGCTACAAGAGGAACGCCGACGGCAAGCTGCGCATCTGTCTCCACCACTCCTCGGTGCCTTTCAGTCTGCCTCCCAGCTCTCAGCTTTCAGAACAGGAAGTAAAGAATGCACAGGCAGCATGGGCCGGCGCCATCAAGAGTATCTCCAAGATCTACCTGGATGGAGGAGACTACGTCGCAGCGGCGGCCGAAGCAGCTGGCGAGCTCTATGGCTATGGCCACACGGATGTGCTCTTCAAACCGACGAAGGCAGCCGAAGCGCCGTTTCGACCAACTGCCGCAGAGGCTATGTCCTATTTTGTTGGCCATGAAGCAGTAGAGAATGGCTATGCTGAGGATGCTGGCTTTGCCATCAACGGCGGCAAGGGATGGTCAAACGTGGTCTTCCACAATCATCAAATCGATGTCACCGGCAATACTGCCCTTGCCATGGGCACCTACTTCTTCACCAGCTCTGCAGATGGAAACAAGACCAAAGTTGAGTACACATTCGGCTACAAGAAGAATGCAGACGGCAAAGTGCGCATCTTCCTTCACCATTCCTCAGTGCCATTCAGCGTAACCCCAGCCGCTCCAACTGCAGCGATCACGGAGGCAGAAGTGAAATGTGTGCAGGCAGCATGGGCTAGGGCCATCAAGAGTATCTCCAAGACCTACTTGGATGGAGGAGACTATGTTGCCGCTGCGACCGAAGCAGCTGGGGCGCTGTATGGCTATGGCCATACCAATGTTCTCTTCAAGCCAACCAAGGCAGCCGAAGCACAGTTCCGACCAACAGCCGAAGATGCCATGTCCTACTTTGTTGGCCACAAAGCGGTCAAGAACGGCTATGCTGAGGATGCTGGTTTCGCCATCAACGGCGGCAAGGGATGGTCGGACGTGGTCTTCCAGAACCACAAAATCGATATCAATGGCACTGTCGCCATTGCCATGGGCACCTACTTCTTCACCAGCGCTGCAGATGGAAGCAAGGCTAAGGTGGAGTACACGTTCGGCTACAAGAGAAACGCCGACGGCAAGGTGCGCATCTTCCTGCATCACTCGTCAGTGCCTTTCAGTCAGCCTCCCGCCACTCCAACTGCAAAGATTTCCGAAGAGCAGGTGAAGAGCGTGCAGGCAGCATGGGCAAACGCCATCAAGAGTATCTCCAAGACCTACCTCCATGGAGGGGACTACGTTGCAGCTGCTGCCAAAGCAGCTGGCGAGCTTTACGGCTATGGCCACACAAACGTGCTCTTCAAGCCTACCAAGGCAGCTAAGGCACCGTTTCGACCAACTGGCGCAGATGCCATGTCCTACTTTGTTGGGCACAAAGCGGTCGAGAAGGGCTATCTTGAGGATGCTGGCTTCGCCATCAACGGCGGCAAGGGATGGTCTGACGTGGTGTTTGAAAACCACAAGATTGATATCACTGGCGATGTTGCCATTGCCATGGGCACCTACTACTTCACCAATGCTGCAGATGGCAGCAAGGCCAAGGTGGAGTACACGTTCGGCTACAAGATGAACGCCGACGGCAAGCTGCGCATCTTCCTCCACCATTCCTCAGTGCCGTACAGCCCTCCCACATCCTCTGCAGCTGACGAGGTTTCAGAAGATGAGGTAGTAACCGCGCAGGCAGCATGGGCCAACGCCATCAAGAGTATCTCCCAAACCTACCTTGATGGAGGAGACTACGTCGCTGCTGCTGGCAAAGCAGCTGGCGAGCTCTACGGCTATGGCCACACGGACGTGCTTTTCAAACCAACGAAGGCAGCCGAAGCACCGTTTCGGCCAACTGGCGCAGATGCCATGTCCTACTTTGTTGGGCACAAAGCTGTCGAGAAGGGCTATGCTGAGGATGCTGGCTTTGCCATCAACGGCGGCAAGGGATGGTCGGACGTGGTCTTCCAGAACCACCAAATTGACATCAGCGCCAAGGTTGCCATTGCCATGGGCACGTACCTCTTCACCAGCGCTGCAGATGGAAGCAAGACCAAAGTTGAGTATACTTTCGGCTACAAGAAGAATGCAGACGGCAAAGTTCGCATCTTCTTGCACCACTCGTCAGTGCCTTTCAGTCAGCCTCCCGCCACTCCAACTGCAAAGATTTCCCAAGAGCAGGTGAAGAGCGTGCAGGCAGCATGGGCAAACGCGATCAAGAGCATTTCCAGGACCTACCTTCAGCGAGGAGACTACGTTGCAGCTGCTGCCAAAGCAGCTGGTGAGCTCTACGGCTATGGTCACACGAATGTGCTCTTCAAACCAACCAAGGCAGCCGAAGCACCGTTTCGACCAACTGGCGCAGATGCCATGTCCTACTTTGTTGGGCACAAGGCGGTCGAGAACGGCTATCTTGAGGATGCTGGCTTCGCCATCAACGGCGGCAAGGGATGGTCAGACGTGGTTTTCCAGAACCACCAGATCGATGTTAGTGGCGATGTTGCCATTGCCATGGGCACCTACTTCTTCACCAGCGCTGCAGATGGAAGCAAGGCTAAGGTGGAGTACACGTTCGGCTACAAGAGGAACGCGGACGGCAAGCTGCGCATTTGCCTCCACCACTCCTCAGTGCCGTTTGCTGATGGAAAGCCCAAGGCGCAGCCTGCGGTGATGCGCTACGCTTTTGAGACTCTTTCCGGTGCATAGCTTGGAACTCTGAGCTTTTATTGGCCGACTTTTAATTCCCGCTCCTGAAAGACGGCTGGTTGAATCGCCGGCTTGGTCTGTTCTGGGATCTGCGTTTTTTTCTGATTTTTCTTGGTCGTGGGGCCATATGTGCATTTTTGTCAAGCGATTTTGCCATCAAGGCTTTAAAAGAACTTGCCCACGGGCGAGGACGAGGAGTGGTTTGGGTTGAGGGCCAAGGCCCTTCAATCAAGCAGCCAGCATAAGCTTGCGCTGCACTTGTAATTTTCATCCGATTAGTGCGTTCTGCACAAATGCAGCCGGGAAACGTGGAGTCGAAAATTCAGTGAGTGCAGCTTCCTTTCTGAGCCCAGATTCCTTTTCGAGCCGGGACCCTCACAGTAAGCTTCGGGGGGGAATGCAGACCTGAAGTTGTCTCCTTGGTCTCTGTTTCCCTCCGTTCTACCCATCTCCGGTACTACTGCTAGTCATTTCTGGTGGCAGCAGGTGCGTCGTGAGGGAAGTCTTTTCCGGCACATCACATATTTATTCGTAGCTACAAGTTTTTCGTCTGCCGTTTTTCTGAAATGCACCTAGAATAGCCGCTGAGAGAGCAATCCTGTATCTGGTGCGGAAGGATGGCAGCTACGTGGCGGTGCTGACCATGCAGGGCTCGTGCTGCCCTGTGACACTTGCACATTGCGAAATGCCGTCTGTCTCATATTCAGTCGCACCAGATGGTGACAAGTAGTCTGAGACTATGCTGCTTGTCTGTAGGGCGCTTGTACCGCATGACCTAAGTTTATTGGTCTGATCCTGGCTGGGTGCTTGAGACGATGAGTCAGTCCGACTTGGGGAGCACAAGTCATTTTTTTGTGGGCCCTCCAGAAAACGCTTGCAGCACTGCCCCTCTTGAGCCTAGTGCACATTCAGCGGGTCTGCGCTAGCTAGCTCTACCCTGCGTGCACTCTCGGGAGGAGATGCTCTTCATCGGAGCACAATGCAAAGCAGTAGCTAGGCCTCCCAATCCCTTGCGTGAGCCCGGAAGCCTGTGAAAAGTGGCAATTCATTCATCAGGCTACCCGAGCCGATGAAAATTGATCCAAGGTTCCAGCGGGCGCGAAGCATCCTTTGCGGCAACAGCATGATCCGCCCGCGTGGCGCACCCCGCTTTGCAGAGTGTTTGGGACTTTTGTCGTTGAACACGGACAGTGCCCTTTGGCACAAGTTTCAGTGGATCGAGGAGGACGCGTGGCTGTTGTCCTGGTGGGATCGGGCACATCTGGTGGAGCTCGCAACCCGAGACCTGTCCTGGATGGGACTCAGCAACCTGCCAGAAGCGATAGCCATGCACGAGCTACAGGAAGACAGCAGATGGAAGCGATTGAATTTCATGCATTATTATCTGAATGGTGCCGATGATGTCGCCAAATATGGAAAATGGGCATGGGCCTCCGAGACCGCCAGGTACTTCACGATTGGTCGTCCTGGCTGGACTGCCAAGGTCATCACTGGTGCCCAGGCATGTGGCGTGTGGAACAAACCCTACTTCTACATTGCTCCGGAGCTGCCGGACATCTCTGCTACCGAAGTGCGCGCTTCCCTCAGACAAGGGGACCGCTGCTCGGCGACATTCTGCACAACCTGTTGCTTTGCTGGTCCTGAAGTGCAGCCATGCACAGAAATGCACATGACATGTTACCGAACTTGACAGGGTATCCGGTAACTATGAGGTTAGACTATGGTGGAGTCATGTTTCGCATGTTTTGGTGCATCATCACCAGAAATCGGGAGGCTTTTCAGAAAGCATTGCAATTTCAACAGCGTCTCAGCAGAATTCAACTGGCAGAGCTAGACCTAAGGTCAATCCCTGGGGTCCAACCTGTGCTCGTTTCCGGTTGAACTTCCCCCTCTCAGATAATGTGGAGTCGGCAAAACACGCAACCGAAGAATGAAGCCAGCTGAGGTGAATCGCTGGCTCGTATGCTGCACCCGGCTGTGGCTGCATGGTGCCTGGAGAAGATCTGTCACAGCCCCGAGGAGGGCGAAATGGCGGACACAGACATCTCTGAGATAGCTGAGGCTGCAGAGCAATAAAACAGAGCACAGTTGAGTCATGCGTTCAGCAACCATCTCTTGTTCTTTGGCGCGTCCTTCGTTAGTTACGGTATTGAGGTGTTGCGTTCCTTCGGCTCTGCTGCTGAACGACAGGCGCTTGGCTTCGGCAGTTGACTTCGGTCGTTGAGCCTACGGATGCAAGTCTAAATCTTGCTGGCTGCCGAAGGAATTCTTCCTAGCAAATGCAACTTCCAGCCGAGGGCCGAGATGATCTTGTGCGGCATAAACAGTAGGAAGACCAGCTCGAGTTTTTGTCCAGCCACACTTGTGACTTGCCGTCTTGTAGCGCGACAAGAGCACCGTAACTTCGGCGAGGCGAAATATGGGCTCGTCGTTTGAGCAACGAGGACGGCTGGCAGGCGGGAAAGATGGGAAAGCTTTACCTACAACTTGCACTCCAGAATGACTTGTTGGCCTTGACTGCGCGAGCCGGGACGTCACGCGGCCTCCCTGTGACAGTAAAAAGTTCGGCAGAGAGCAAGCCTGTGTCGTCTGCTATTTCTGCTACGGTCCTTTCCCGAACATGAAACATCTTCGAAGAGCTTGAATGCCTGCTGTGCCCTGAGAGAGTGTTGCCGTGGCCGGAAGCCTCGCCTGCATGGTCCCATTGCGAAAGTACACACACGCGGGCAGTCGCCACGACGCTGATCTCGAAAGACTTGTGTTGACGTGTGCACCCTGACCGGATTCGCATGCACATCGGCACTCAGGCGCAGGCTTCCGTCGGCCTCCACGTTCTCATTACAACCGCCGGGAGTGGCCTGACCCAGCCGAAACAGTCAGTCGCTGTGCTACCACAGGACTTTCTCACACAGCTCGAAGGAAACTACCACGAGAGCGCAGAAATCCGGTCTTCTCGTAGCTGCACACGTAGACTACACCAAGCCCAAATGGAATGTCGTAGTTTGCCAGAATTGGCGTGTCATCGACGAGCTTTTAACCGACATTAGTCCTGCTGCATACTGAACGACTTGCAGCCCACCTGCCAGATGGATCTGAACATTGTCTTCTGCGAAGTCTTCCACGACTTTTTCCCAAACGACGACTGCAAGGCCTCACACGGTGTTTTCAGTTCATGCCGACATAGGCCAACTTTACTGATTGCGTGCAGACGGAACAATCCTTGACCAGAGACCATGTGATCTTGTAGGGGCACCAGCACTGCAGAATGCTCCGAGGCTTGGGCCTACGGCGTACACGAATTTCCAGCGCTGAGGTTGAGATCAGCCCTATGCCCAGTCTGGCATAGTGGCCAAGTGCAGTAGATTCAGCTGCAAATCCGAGACAGGAATACCGGGTAGAATCTTCATGCTATTGTTCAAAGGACACCGTAAACAGTCATCCTCACCTGAGCTGCATGAGTCCCCGTAACGCACAGAGTAACACGTCGACGCAGCTTGCGGGCACTCGTTTCAAGCCTAGGAGATGTGCAGTCTGCGACGTTTAAGAGGGTTGCTCAGCTCCTTACCCTCCTGATGAGCGGCAGAAGTAGGTATAGCCCGAAGGCGAACAAGACCAACTCCTCAAGCAGCCAAGGCTAGCCCGGGAGGTTCGGGGCCATCCGATGTTTCAGAAGACATCAGGAAGTACGGCTCCAAGAAACGTTTTGCATGTGAGCCTTGTGTGTGTGTCCTTCGTCGTCGTCTTAGTAGTAGTAGCAGTAGAAGCAGTAGAAGCAGTAGAAGCAGTAGAAGCAGTAGAAGCAGTAGAAGCAGTAGAAGTAGTAGTAGTAGTAGTAGTAGTAGTAGTAGTAGTAGTAGTAGCAGTGGTAGTAGCAGTGGTAGTAGCAGTAGTAGTAGTAGTAGTAGTAGCAGTAGTAGTAGCAGTAGTAGTAGCAGTAGTAGTAGTAGCAGTAGTAGTAGTAGTAGTAGTAGGAATAGCTGACTAGCCTGTACTAGTATCATCGCTACTATTGAAAGAAGCTGCAGCGGCAGCAATACCGGCGACAACGAAGGAATGAAGCGACAGCAAGCAAGAGTCACAACAAAACCGAGAAGCACAACCAGTTTCGCAGCAACAGAAGTCTGCGAACGACGATGGGTCCGACGATGCTCTCAGGTCCATAGAGAGCGGACCGCTGCGCCCGCCCAAGCCTCAGAACATCAGCTTGACTAAGTGCTGTACTTCTCTGCCACCGGAATCAGCTCCAGTTCGGTGTACTGAGGCATGAGGACTTTGATGAAGGCCTGCTGAAAAGTATTTGTAGGAGGTTGAGCTTACGCTGCTTAAGCATTGCCCATGTTCTGGTCTCCCGACAGCCGACGCCAGGTTTTCATACCACTTGGGACTACAAATTCACTATCCACATGGGGTGGGGCTCTCTGGAAACTAATATGGTGTGACGCATAACGTGCCAGAGCACCAGAGCACGAGGGCCTAGGTCCTTATCCTGCATGTGTAAGGTTCGATGAGGAAAAGAACTTAAAGAAGATGGTGGAGGGCCAGCTACAGCCTCGGCGGGTCCAGGCATGAAGAGGGCTGGGGACATGTTGCTCACTCTTGGGAGGCCAAACCGTGCGGCCGTTCCTCTCCGTGGAGCCCTTCTTTAGCAGCCCCAGGCCTCAGCTCACAAAGTACTTCACCTCAGGCGAACACCTGAAGTCCAACAAGTACTCCCTCCTGCAACGCATCTACTCCATGGTCGAAGCCGCAGCCACTCATGTTACTACCTTTGCACGGGAGTGGGCCACATAGTCCAAGGTCTACATCGAGATTCAAGATATCAGCGGTTACGCGGTGTGGGCAACTCAGACATGCTCAGGAAGGCGAACCCATACACATCGACAAAGGGATGGGGAAAGGGGGATGAAACTAGAAACGACCACGCCCGCAAGAAGTGGTTTCAGTGCACACCCTGTATGCCACTCCTTCGAGAAGTATCAACTGCACTTGGACACCTGTGGTAAGCAGTCGCTTCAATGATCGGTTGAGCTTCTAGGCTATTTGCGAACGAGGGGCATGGCCTCCAGCTGTTCGCGAAACCGCTGCATGCGGAGCCGAGCTTGGGTTATGCTTGGGTTTGCTGGCGGTTGCATAGACTTCCGCCGATGGCCTTCGACGAAGTCTGTGCAAGGACGTTGTCCGATATGACCTGAAGGGACAGCCGGCACCTCGGAGACTTCGGTGCTTTCGGTCGGCCTTTGATATGCCGGTGGGATCCGGCAAGGAAAGCATTGAATAGCAAACCAGACAAACATAACAAAGCCCCGCAGCTTGCGCCCTGCAGGTCACGCAGGCAGACGAAAAAACAGTCTTCTGCAACGAAGTCCTGCCCTCAGCTTTGCCACTCGCCCTTTCACCTGCGTTTGTTCCGCACAGCATCAGACGAGACTGGTACTGTACTATGCTGGTGCAAAAAATCGGAAGATTGTGTTATTGATCTGAAGTTGCTCAGGAAGGTCCTTCTGAATGGAGACTTCACAGAGAAAGAACAGAACAAGTGGGGCGCTTGAACTGTAAATTTCTGGTCTCGTTTGCATCAATCTTGCTTTTCGCAGGCTGCCTTTCAGGAACTGGCACTGCAAAGAGCCGCACCTTCAGAGCTCATGACACTGCTTGCTCAAGTTTGGCCTTCAGTCAGCCTTCAGACCATATCGCTTGAAAACCCTGGATGCCTTCTCTGAGGCTCAAGAAGGTCTTCAGAAAAGATGTCGACTGGCTGAAATCTCATGCACCGCTCCCAGAGCTGAAGATCTTCAACGAAAGTGCTTGTGGCATTGTAACAATGCAGCATGTCTTCTTGCTACACGAGCAGCCAAGGGGATGGCAGAGTACAGCCTCTATGTTGAGGCCGTGACCACCTCTTCCATTGTTGTGCCCGATTTCTTTGATCATCAAAGTGTACTAATTTCTGCGTGTTGCGCAGATTGCCGTCGGTCGTGCGGCCGGTGTCAGGGTGGGTTGTGGACGGCTTAATTGGACAAGATGTCAAGCGACGAGATCTCAGACTGAGTGTCAATACTCCGAGGCGGTGGGATGCCGGGGACACCTCTTTGCAATGACAACGAGCAGGCAGTGAGGACCAGTGCTGGCCTCCCGAATTGCCACATACTTCCGCACTCCAGACGCGTGAGCGGTCGGATGCTTCGAAAGTCAGGACCAGCACTGCTGCAGCCTTACACCTGCAGACGTCATGCTACAAGTAGCGAGTGGGCGGCAGGAACAGGGGGCTTAGCTTGGTTTGAGCCCAGAAGTGAGGGCAGCGGCCGATATCCAAGGTGTCGGTCATCGATTACTTCAAGGACAAGCTCATGGACCGCTCCTCCAATTCTTTCGGCAGCCTCCCGAGAAGCTTACATCCAATTCCGGGAAAAGAAACGATCTTCGTCATTTCATGTCTACGGCAAGGTGACTCAATGTTGGAATTCGTGGATGAAGTTTGTTTGATCGACCAGAAGGCCAGCAGAAGCTGGACTAGACTCGGTAGCTTCTTGAGATGGTGCTGCGAAATGTGTCTTCCAGCTGCAGTGCTCGGATGCGAGACCACAGCCTATGGGCCGACAGGAGAAGCTTGACAATTGGCAGATTTATGTCGTGGTGCTTTGCTTTGCTGCGAAGCCCTGAGCACTGATGAAGCCTGGATCAGCCTGTGTCTTCATGTCCAAGATGCCCGGAACCCGTCAGAGGCGCTCCTCGTTGGTGGAGCAGCAGCTTGTTGGCTTTGCACCTAGCTGTAGCACTGCTCACCCGAAAGTGCAACCTTGCAATGCATCTTCTGCTCAGGTTCTATGGTGCCCAGTTCCTTCGTTCGAGCCGACCCCATGAACTGCGCTCGCCAGATGCGTCGCTTGGAGCTCAGGATGGAGGTCTGAGCAGGAAGACGGAAATGGAGCTTGTGTCACATGTCTTGTGTCGGCTTGTTGCCGCTTCGACGATTTTGGAGCCCTCGCGACTGATACAGCAATACTGAGATACCAATTATCAATTCATCTGTGTTTGAGGGGTTCGCAAAAGAAAGGCCCCCTCACCGATTATCCATTCAGCGCCCCCACTTCTTGACTTAAGCCAAAGAAACCGTGTGGCGTAGTGCATGCAGGGTGGCTAACGGCTAACGTGTATCGCTGGTCAGACTCGTCTCGTACGCCTTTCCTGGCCGGTAGACCTTCAGCTATCGTGACCAGTTTTCTTAAATGTCCCTCAGCTTCATCAGCCAGAAGACTGAGGGTGGAGATGACAATGCGAAATCCCGGCATGCAGCCCGAACCTCGATGTGCACTGATGTGCATCCCGGTGACACCGAGCCATCCAAGAGCACGCAGCAATTGAGGCCACCAGCACAAGGATGGCCAGGCCCGTTTGTTGCAAGTGACTAGTTGCCCTGGTGCAGTGATGTGTTCTCGTGTCAAGGTGCCATGTCTCCTGGATATCCCGCAGCATATCCAGGCTACCCAGGCCAATATCCAGCCTACCCAGGAGCCGGCTATCCGCAGATGTAATGGGCTGATGGGACCGTTTTCCCGTCATGCCCAGTTCATTGCAAAAGCCAAAAGCTGTCGAAGTTGCCAAAGCAGGCCAATGCCCTTGTCTCAAAGTCGCAGCAAGGAGCCGGCGGGCTGTGCGAAAAAGTCTTCCGAAACATATCAGCGTGTCGGTGTAGTGCAGACATGTGCTAGGTGTGCGACGGTTGTGTAATCCGGGAGTGCTTGGCACCTTCTCAATGCTGCAAGGTACACCATGTACACTGAACGTTCCAAGTGCCACGGAAGTGCAGGTGCGATCGGTCTAGTCAAGTCATTTGGCTGGCGGGAGGGGCAAGGTGTCGTTGAGTTGTCCGGCCATGGCGAATAACGCCTCTGCGCCAAAATCTCAACGCCCCATGCTGCCGTCTTTGCCTGAAGCTCGCTGGAAGTAAGCATCATTAGTGGTAGCGGTCGTATAGCGCCTTTAGTATCCCTTGTGCCGCTGCTGTCCGGGAAAGCCGAGGAGAATGTGATCCCAAAGAAATCAACGACCGCGCCGACAGCTTCAGAGGGCCTTGAGCTCCTTGACTGCGGAAGATGCAATCGCTCCAGGATCGAGCAAGCATAGCATTTTGAAGATGCCGAAGTCTCACCCATGAAAATGCAAGTCCAGCACCACACGCACATCTCCGCACGACTATTTGGGAACTCCAGGCTGAGGGTGGCAACTTGCACGGGTCCCGGGGGGGTCGGTGATTAAGCCCCGGGCTCGTGCTGCACGTGGGTTTTCAGTGATGTTCCGGTCCAGAGGGGCTCGGTGTTGAACGCAGCAAAATTGAGCGTGTGTTTTTCAGACGGCCTTGATATGTGATGGACAGGATGAGGACTACGACGACGGATTGCATTCAAACAGGACTAGGGACTGGACCATTTTCATGCCCACCCTAACGTTTGCGTCAAAATTTGAACTGCAGGCGGAAATTCAAGTTTTGAGCCGCATTGGCCCGTGATGTGTCGTCCGTTGGCTTGTTCCATGTTATCAGCGCATCATTGCATCATCAGGATTCATCAGGAAATTGTAGTCGTCGCACAGACAGATGTTTCGACAGCGAATTCGCGCTATCGCGTGCCCTTCCGTGCCAACACTCAAAAAACACCCTTAATCCCCAACGGCAGCAACAGCAGGCTCCTTTTTGAGGAGATCAACAGTTGAGGCAGTTGAGGTTTATGGATTCGTCAAGGGCCAGGGCTCATGGGTTTTTAATTAGAATTGCGGGTGGTTTGTTACCACCTGTACCTGTCACCTGTTCCTGTTTCTGCTGCAATGGAGCCAAACCCTAAACTCGAAGCCTAAAAACCCTAGCCCTAATCGCCCCAATCTCACTAAATCCTGGACCCTGATCAGCCCTGATTCCTAAGCCCTACAAACCTCATACCTAAAACCTTAAATTGCCCTAAACCCTGATCTCCAAACCCTAAACCGTGATCCCTAAACCTAAACCCCATACCCTAAACCCTGATCCCTGAACTCTAAACTCGAAACCCTGCCTTCGGCCGCACAAAACCTTAATTACCGAGAGGGGTCCGGTAATTAAGCCCTGCGCTTGGATCCGGTCTAATTCCCGAGGTCCATCCTTAATTGCCGCGGTCCTGTCCTTAATTACCGGGGTCCGGCCTTAATTACCGGACCCCGGCCTTAATTACCGACCCCCCCTCGGTAATTAAGGTTTGGACCGGCCTTAATTACCGGGGTCCGGGCTTAATTACCGACCCCCCCTCGGTAATTAAGGTTATGGAAGCATGTTTTGGTGCATTTTCGAGCGCTGACCCCGTCAAAATGAGGGGGTCAGCGCTCGAAAATGCACCAAAACATGCTTCCAAAACCTTAATTACCGAGGGGGGGTCGGTAATTAAGCCCGGACCCCGGTAATTAAGGCCGGTCCAAAACCTTAATTACCGAGGGGGGGTCGGTAATTAAGGCCGGGGTCCGGTAATTAAGGCCGGACCCCGGTAATTAAGGACAGGCTTGCAACATAGACCATTTGCGATGTATGTCGGGTCAATCAGCTTGCTAGGCACGAGTTTTAGCAGTTCTTGTTGTTTTTTTTTGGTTTTGTCCTGACCCGACCTGCCTGCCCCCTCCAGGGTTGTGGTTGCCCCATGGCTGCCTTGAGCCTACTGACTGGCACTTGTTTAGAACCCAGAATCCGAATAACCGACATAACCGCATACCTGTATACTATATCCACCTAGTCACCTAGTCTCCACACACTTGCCACTATCCCACTGGAGGCCCAAACTTTGCCCTAAGCGGCCTTAAGCTGCGAAATCTCAGTTTGAAAGCTTCACAAGCTGCAGCCTGGATCCTGCATCCTGAGTACGTCTACGCCTGCGCAAGTTGTGAGATTCCGACGGTGACCCCTAAACCCCTAAGCCTGAGGCCTAAGCCCTAAGGCCATGAATCTCCAAACCTTTAAACATGAGGCTCATGGCGCTGGGGAAAAAAGACGGCCGACAAAAACTTTTTACGGTTTGAGCAGGCTTGAGGCTTAAGGGTTCGGCTTACAGTGTTTAGGGCCCAGGCCCCTAGGGTTAAGTTTAGTTTGGGAGGGCCCCTAAAGCTTTAAACCCTACACTAAGCCCTCCCTGAGGCTTCAACTGGATAGAACCGATTGCAAAACATCAGACACCTTTGTCGTGCGTGGGCAACGGCATAAACCACAGCCTAAGGTGGAAAATGTAGATGGACCCCACGAGGCAAAAACATTGAAATCAAACGTTTCTTTCGTGGTGGCAAGGGCAGCACCAGCAACCACTCGCAGCTCGTTTGGAAGCAGTTTTGTGGGTCGTTTTCGGTCGCAATGACGGCAGTGTGCTTTGTACGGTCATGTGCATACAACCCACCCTCGGTAACCGAAATGTGCTTATTCCCGGGGTCCTGGGCTTAATTACCGGACCCACCCGGGACCCGTGCAAGTTGCCAGCTGAGGGGCAATGGTGATGTCAACAAGCGTTTGTGTGCCGAAGAAAACTGAATTCCGAAAAGGCCGACATGGTCAAATAAATGAAACTATGTTGAGGTGTGTTTACCTTGAGCTCAATGTGATTGGGCCTGTAGTTCTTGCCTGCTTACGGCGAGGGGGCAACAACGTATTCGGCTCTGGCCTAAGCCCCGGGTGAAGAGCACAAGTCTGTTCCAAAAAGCATCCAAGAAGCTTGAACTTCGATGTCGAGCGGTCGTTTGAACGCTCATCCGACACATCTGAAAAGCCCTGACGATGGGGAGCTCGTTGTGCACCAACCTGGAAAAGTCGAAGCCCAAAGCGTTAGCTTCAGGGAATAGCGAGCTTGTTGCTACAAGGATGACCGTTCAACCGTGAGAAGAGTCTATGTAGACATTAGGGCAAATCAGGTCATCCTGTTCAAGATTTCTTCTTATACTTGCATGTGCTGCAATGTTAAGCTCGGCGAAGTTGAATGCTTTGCTTGAATGCAGCGACCCTAGCATGTTCGGTTCTGACTGGTGAAATGTCTTTGCAGCCGAGGCTTTGCAAGCAAGCTGTTGCAGTGCTTGTCGGTGACATGCGTGCTGAGATTCAACAGGCACTCGGGATGACGGATGGAGAATTAAACCCACCATCAAACCGACGACAACTCTCAGGCTGCATGCCAGAAACCATTCAAGCATTGCGGGTTACGTGTTCACAACATACTTTATCGAGTTGCGTGCGTCTATCTGTTACTCGCAATGATATTGCCTGTCGTGTCAATACTTGAGGGTACTACCAAGCTTCAGAAATTCGCACGTGGACAGTTGTGCAAGCGAGGGCGTGAGTGCATGCGTCTGAAATTTCTTGAGCCTAACTGCCTGTTTTTGTCTATCGATATGTCTGTCTATCCGACTATCCTTCTGGGTCGGCCTGCGATGTGCTTGTTGGTAATCATCCAAACATATCCGAACTCGTATTCTGGCATTTCCGGTTGTGAGAAAACATGGTGCACACAGGGGAGGCTCTAACAATTAACCGTCAAACTCATGATCCCCAAGAAGCAGTTGAATTGCAGAAGCGTCCGAGTCTCTTGCCGCCTAGAGCTTGACAGGCGGTCGGACTCCTAAAAGGCGAAGCGCAAAGTGCCAGTGCCACTCGGAATCCCATCGCGGCCAAGCTGCTTCTCGTTGCGGACAATCTGTAGCACGGCGGCAACGGGCTTCAATGCACCGTTCGAGTTTCCAGTGTTCATCCTCAGCTTAGAGTGTGACTAACTATGCATAAAGTCATGCGCATGACCAACGTATACAGAAGGACCGAGCATCCAAGCGCACATCCCTTCAATGCCTCTCAGCCTAGGCAGCATGCCGAGAAGGCCTTTGTGCTGAAAAGCTTAGATCAGCTCTGCCAGCACTGCTTGCGGTTCTGCGCATCGCAATAATGGTCAGGATGCTTTGGGCAAGATGCGCGAGCTGTTAACGCACTCAAACTGGGAGTTGGGCCAAAGGCTTGACTTGCAAATGCAGGTCGGGTGGTTTTGCTGTGAGAGAGGGGTTGGTGCATACTGTGGTCAGCAAATTCCGGAAGTCCGGAAGTAGCGAATGTGCAGCTGTTTCGCGGCATTTATCAAATGTATCTACGGCAAGCTTAGAGCTTCCGCTGGCGCGCCAGCATTGCAGGTGAATGCCCAGCTTGGAGACCACATGCAATCTTCCAGGGAGCTCACACTGGACACGGTCACCCGTATCGAACAAGGCATGAAGCGCCACTTGGACGTCATTGACAGGTGGCATTCCAGCTGAAACAGGCCGGTGCGAATCATTCACAACCGAGGCTTAGAGGCCAGCCTTAGCCGTGACACTGCCGACCTCCGATCAGAAGTGAGCAGAGTGAAGGCTGTGGGGAGTTTGTGGGCTGTGGTCTAATCGTGCCACGCTCGGAAACCACATCTGCCTCATGCTCCCTTCAGGAGATTGTCACTGGTATATCCACGCAAGTCGAGCGAGAATCGCAGTCAGCCGCTGGCCTACATTGGAGGTTAGCAAG